TGCGCCACCAGGGAGGGCCCAGTTGTATACTTCTTTTTAATTCTTTTTGTGTGTTTTTTTTAACTAGCCATACATTATTATATTCTAATAGAATTAATAAATTGAGGTATGTGTATGCTGTATTAATGATCCTCAATTTTGAGTTTTATGATATAATTGTAGACATCATTTCAATTTATTAATACATTCTTATTACTATATGTACGTAATAGCTTTTTACATATCCTTAAAGACAAATGCAGCCTGTCTCCAGTTTATCAGTACATTTCTTTTTCAGAATTGTTTTTCTTTCCCCTTAGTTGAATTGTTTAGAAAATCACATTTGTTTTTCCATAGAAACTGGTCAGCCCCACAAAACTTCATGCTCTTCAAAGTATAATAATAGGACTGTTTAAAGTGTTCTTAATAACTGCTGTTAATTAATAGTACATACCTTAATTTTTTTCCCCATAGAAACACTCCAGATACCAAGAATGTGCCACTAGAGTTTTGGGAAGCCCTGGGTGCTTTGGAGGTGATAGTGGTATAAAACTAGTATTCCAAGATACCAGTTAGTATTCCAAGATACTGATATTCCCAGATACCAATAATAATATTAATTCTTATATCCTCATTCATTGTAAAGGAACAAAAAAAAAAAATGCTGTGTTACCATAGTTACTCCCAGGTATTTTGAATAGATTAACAAAGAGTATTTTTCCTTTTTCTCAGTGACTTCCTCTCTTAAGTGCAAAATTATATACTTAGTAATCTGTCCTTAAATATTTCAGATGAACATAGAAAATTTTGCCTTAATTTTCTCAGCTTATATTTTCTAATAAAAAATATATATTGTTCATTAGTAAACCCCTTAATTTGATTGCTGTTGATACTCAGACCTCAGTGAAGATAAAACTGAATTGTATACATGCTTTTTTAATCAGTGTGTTAAATTTATAGTATACAACTTTAAACATACCTTTCTTTTTTTTTAATTTTGCAGGAGGTCCTAGGTTATAAAATTGACCACCAGGTTTCTGTTTACATAGTAGCAGTATTAGAATACATTTCTGCAGACATTTTAAAACTGGTGGGGAATTATGTACGAAATATACGGCATTATGAAATTACAAAGCAAGATATTAAAGTGGCAATGTGTGCTGATAAGGTAGGACACAGCCTTCTGTTTGTTCTTAAGTTTTATTTGATTTATTTGTTGGGTATTAGCATTGTACTCAGATTGAATAGAGTTGTATATTATGTGTTAGGAGATATTCCCAGTGATCAAGGTAGCAAATATTTATCACTTATGAAAATAGAGTATTATATTTATAGTACTAAAGTGTGTTTATACATATTGTGTAGTCCTTTCATATGTTGCTGCAAGTAGAGTTAGTAGCTAGTCTTTTTTACTAATGAATTTCCTAAAATTTTGTTTTGATTTGAAAACCTAGAAAGTTAGGGATTTTCTTGAAAGCAATTTTTGAAAATATAAAAATACTAAACTCTTGAGAATTTTATTTCAACACTTGCCTTTCCTTAGTTACTACTTACATGATTTTACTACAGTAATATTAAATGCTAACATTTGTTGAAAGTTAAACATATATGGAGCTCAGTCTCATGTATTCCTTAGTATTCCTCCTGTGCAGTAGATGCTTTCATCTAGTTTATAAATGAGTTCAAAGAGAACGAAATTGGTTCAAGTTACTAAGAAGTCTCAAAGTCTAGTGTTGAACTCTAGATCTGTCAATCTCTTAGTCATTGCAGTATACTGTCTCAGTATATTCACTTTTCAAAATGATTTTTCAAGAAAGAAAATATTTTCTGATGAAGCATTTCACTCCATTTTTTTCTCACTATACTCATACTGAATTGGGTTTTCTCATTTGTTTACTCAAGTATGTTTCAATGTTTTCTTTCAGAATATGAACATATAGGACAAAAATTACCTAATCTGAAGAGGGATGTTAAAAATTTTGATGTTTGTGTTTAAATGAAGTATTTGGTCTTCAAAATAATTATTTTTAAGTAAAAATAAGTATTTGTATCTTTAAATGAACCAGATAAATGAACCTACTATCTGCTAACATGAACTGATCCAAGAGAAGCATAAAACAAGACTTTCAAGTTAATGAAGGGTTACTTAGGTTTGTAAGACAAGCAGGAAGTGTTAAGATGAAATATTACTGTATTGTAGAGATAATGCTGTAGAAATTCACAAAAGGGAGAGATGAAATTCAGCCAGAGTAATAAAAGTAGACTTACTGAATAACCACAACTTGTTTTGACCATTCTCTAACAAATGTAGAAATAGAAGCTAACTAGAAAACTGTAAGAATTATTCAAATACCAAGTGGTGAGTCCATGAATCAGGTGGTGATCGTAAAGATGTAAAACGTGGGATGTTGAGTCAGAAAAAAACCTAACACAGGATTTGGGAACACATTAGAAATAACAGGTTAACGAGAGACACAGAGATCCTAGCACTGATAGAGGCCTTTAAGGAGGCAGTTTGAGATACCAAGTGAAAATTTCTGTGAAACTGTGAAGGTGGTAGTAGCATTACATCCAGAATGAGTTAACTGTGTGTCTTCTTTTTTATCAGTTAAGAACTGGATTCAGAAAACCATGTAGGATGTTTAACTTGAAACTTAACTTTAGATTTACATTTCATTATACATTTTATATCTCTGACTATGTGTAGGTATTGATGGACATGTTTCATCAAGATGTAGAAGATATAAATATATTATCTTTAACTGATGAAGAACCTTCCACCTCAGGAGAGCAAACTTACTATGATTTAGTAAAAGCATTTATGGCTGAAATTCGACAATATATAAGAGAACTAAATTTAATTATAAAAGTTTTTAGAGAGCCATTTGTCTCCAATTCAAAATTGTTCTCAGCTAATGTAAGTATCATTATGTGTATGATTGCATCTATTGTTAATTTTGCATGACCACTCAAATTTGAACTTCTGTTGTTCATGGTTGATAACTTTGCCAATCATTTTTTAAGTTGTAGGATTTAAGTCATAGTGACTGTTACCACAAGTATAGTGCTACAACAGTTTCGGTAAATGACACAGTAGAAATGAAGACACAGGGGCCTCCCTGGTGGTGTATGGGATTAAAGTCACAGTGTTATCAAGCTCTTAACAGCCACTTCGACTTGAGTTGAACTATCCGCAGAAAGGCACTAACCCACATGGTGTAGCAGACCCTTCCTGTCTCACCTGCTGCTCCCTTCAGCAGTGTATTTTCAGTATATCTGCCTGTTCTGCTCCCCACTCTGTTTCTGGTGAATCCTCTCAACCCCCACAATTCTGACCTATACCCCAGTTCTTGTATGCATGAATAAATAAAAATGTATATACTTTTTTATTAAATAAAAAAAATGAAGACACAATCTAAACTATACCGATGGTTTAAGTGAAAACAAATTCACAGAATGTTCCCTGTACTCCAAAGAATAAAGTCTCTCATAAGGTAGTTTTTTTTGTTTGTTTAATTTGAGTCACTCAACACTTCTTCGATGCTTCCTATCTTGTTAGACACTATATTTGAATGAGAATTTTTTTGAAGATTATTTATTTATGCATATAGAACTAGGGGATAGGCCTTAGGTACAGAGGTGGTGAGAGGATCCACCAAGACAGAGTGGGGATTAGGATAGGCAGATTGACAAAGTACACTGCTGAGGGGAGCAGTGCATGAGGCAGGAGAGGTCTGCCTTGCCATATGGGTCACCTCCGGGGCCTGGATCAACCTTGTACTGAAGTGGCTGTGCCTTACTTGCAGTGCTGTGCTTTAACCTGTTGAGCCACCAGGGAGAGCCCTGAATGAGAATTTAAAGATGGGTAAGAAACAGTTCCTTCCCTGAAGTTTAGTTAAGGAAAAGATGTAAACCTAAAATTAAATTTCAGTTCAAAGTGGTAATTATGATAATAGAAGTATTGATAGTAGTGTCTGGGGGAGCACAAAAGAGGGTATCAATAATATTAAAAGTTGGAAGATGCCCTATGATTTTACAATAATAATCAAACCTTATTGGATCCTGGGAAAAATGCTAAATGAGAACTGGTGAGATTATGTAAGGAAGTTGCATTCTGATAATTCCCAAAGATGGAGCTGAACAAACCTGAGTGATTGAGGATGATGTAATGCTCAACAAAGGTTGAGTCTGAGGTTCAGGATAGCAGTGACCAGACATCAAAAATAAAGAAATAGACTATGGTGGTAATTGCACAAGTCTGTACATATACTAAGAGTCATTGACTTTTCAGTTTAAATATGTGAATTCCATCATATGTAAGGTATATATTTCAGTAAAATTTAAAAAGGTAAAGGAATAAAAGGTTGGCAGATTCTTAGGATATAAAAATAAAAAACCATAAAATAAAAAATTAATGAATTGGACTTCATTAAAATGAAGAGGTTTTGCTTTTCAAAAGACATAGTCATAAAAATTTAAAAGTTAACCCACAGATTGATAAAATGTATTTGAAATACATATATCCAGGAAAGGACTTGTATCCAGAATAAGTATATGAAGAACATTTACAAGTTAGGAATGAGCCTGGTATTTTTTAAGTGGGCCAAAAATGTGCTCTATAAAATAATTCATCCCAGTGCTTAAAAAGTACTAAAAGGTAGTATCAGTAGCTATCAGGGAAATGCAAATTTAGACTACAACAAAATTCTATTACATTCTTATTGGAAAGGCTAAAATGAAAAAGGCTGACAGTATCCAGTGTTGAAAGCAACATGGAACAACTGCTGGTAGGAATATAAAATTCCTATTTTGCTTGTGAGAATGTAATCTGATAAAAATACTTAAGAGTTTGGCAATTCTGTGTAACATTGAACATAAGCCAGCCACTGTACTGCCTAGCAGTTGCACTCCTAGGTTTTTACACATTTTATAAACTGTATCTCATTGGATGTGAATCATAATTATCCAGTAGATCTTAATACAATAGTACAAAATTGATAGGATTGTAGATTCTGCATTGCTACTAGCATTTAAGAAACTACCATTTATTGAATTTTGCTGTGATAACATAAGAAGATATTGTTTTTATATAACATGTCCATTATAGGGAAATACATAGAGATAGAATGTAGGTTATTTGTTGCCAGGGACTAAAGAAAGGAAAATAATGGAGTGCTGCTAGTGGACATAGGTGTTCTTAGGGAGTGGTGATGAAGATATAATGGAATTTGATGGTTAATGATTCACAGCTCTGTGAATATATTAAAACCATTGACTGGTATACTTTAAAAGAATGAATTTTCTGGTATGCACCTCTTGTTTCAATAAAGGAGGTACACCCACAATAAGGATACTATTATTTAAATACACTGTTAAAATACTCCTCCTTTTCCAACTAGATATCTAGGATTTTTTGCATATACTTTAACCAAAGTAAAATATCACAATAGATTAAATGTAGCAATATATAAGAAAATACAGCTGTTTTCTATTAAACTACCTGTTAGATTTGCAAAAGCAAATGACATTCTTTTCACTGTTTTTGGAAATAGACATAAAAATGCTATTTATTGTTTTTAAATAAAGTTTTAAATTTTTTGGCTTTAATTTCTAGTATACTAAATGTTTAATAGATATAAATCAAAAACCCTTTGGAGCTCTCAATAATTTGTAAAACTATGGAGTCTCATAGGAACAAACCATTTGAAAGTCATGAACCTAAAGAAATATATTTGCAAATTGTGCATTATTTTAAGAAACAAAATGGAATTATCTTTTACTCATGTTAGCAAGTTGTTAAAATTTTTCAGTGTATCTGCCATGTTAAATTCCATGATTACAGAATGACTTACTGGATTAAAATTGGTTTTCTGTAGCTATACAATCTAAGTGAATTAATTTGTTTTTTCTTTCAACAGGATGTAGAAAATATATTTAGTCGTATAGTAGATATACATGAACTCAGTGTAAAGTTACTGGGCCATATAGAAGATACTGTAGAAATGACAGACGAGGGTAGTCCCCACCCATTAGTGGGAAGCTGCTTTGAAGATTTAGCAGAGGTGAGTTCTTTAATTATATAGCCTACCTTGACATTAACATTGGGATGTTAATTATCAGCTGGAGTCAATAGATATAATTGTTGAATACTTAACTGTATTGCCCCTCCTTACAAATCGTTGTCATCATTTATATTTCAGTTGTCTTCTGAACATCACAGGTTTGAACTGCAAGGGTCTACCTATACATGATTTTCTTGTAAACAGTCAATCAATGTAAACTTAGAGTATTAATAAATACAGTTTAGTAATATAGTAGCATTTTCACTTATGATTTTCTTTACTTATTAAAAAAAAAAAAAGATTTACTTATGTTTGCATACAGAACTGGGGAACAGGCCAGAAGTTCAGGGGCAGTGAGAGAATTCACCAGAGACAGAGTGGGGAGCAGAACAGGCTGACTGATGAAGTACACTGCTGAGGGGAGCAGCAGGCCGGTCAGGAGAGGTCTACCTCGCCATGTAGATCACCTCTGGGACAGGCTGGGATTGAACTCATGCAGAGTAGCTTTAGCTTCTTAGTGCTGTGCTTTTACCTGCTGCACCACCACGGAGGGCCCTCTTTAGCTTATTTCGTTGTAAGAGTATAGTACTGTTTTTGTGAACTATTTGTTAGATTAAGCCTCAAGTCAACAGTAGTCAGTTAAGTTTGAGAAGTCAAGAGTAATACCTGATTTTCAATGATGCCAGGGTTGGTTTTCCTCCCAGATTGTCTGTGTGTGATTCGAGGACCAACTATTATCTTACGAAAGAGAGAAAGTAGTCTTATTCACTATGAAAAAGCAGATCCACAAAGGAAAGGCATTTACAAATGATACCCTGTTTTTCTTAATAACAAGGCTAAAGAAATAATGATGAATATCCTATCAATGAAGAAGTTATGAATCTTATTTATAAGGTCAGACTACTTGGGTCCATTCTAAACTCTACTGCTTATTACTTGTGATAATCATTGGCTGTTTACTCACATCTAACTATATTTGTAAAATAAGGGTAATAATAGGTCTTGGGTTCTTTCTTATTTCCATAAAATAATCTACCTACAGTATCTAGCTCACTACCTTCATGCAGTAAGTGTCTTAATATATGAGACAAAACTGTCCTCAACAAAATTGTCTGTACTCAACATAACTGTCTCTATAGCAAATTGAAGGAAAAGTATAGTAGAACTGTTGGGTTAAGTCCAGTACAGTTCTTAGATAAAAGATAAGCACATAAAAAATTGTAGTATATTATACTCAGTTACAACCCATTAAATATTTAACACTAAAGTAAAAAGACTCAGTTCACTAGAGAAGCAAAACTATAAGGTAATCAGTGACAACTCCAGTAAACTTATGCAACTCTTTGGTTGAGAGAAGTCACAAAATAATTAGTTTTATATAGAAGATTCTCAGTAAATAGAAATAACAGGTTCATTCATGAAAAGTCTCAGTATAGTAATGATGCAAGTGGTCCCCAAATAAAGTATAAATCCAGTACATAGCAAGCTGATCCTAAAATTCATATGGAAGAATAAGGGTCCTCCCTGGTGGCACATCAGGTTAAAGCACAGCACTGAGATGCTAAAGCCTCTTCAGCATAAGTTTGATCCCCAGCCCTGGAGGTGATCCACATGGCATGGCAGACCTCTCCTGACCCACCCACTGCTCCCCTCAGCAGTGTACTTCATAGGTCGGCCTGTTCTGCTCCCCACTCTGTCTCTAGTGAAGCCTCTCACTGCCCCCGCACCTCTGGCCTGTACCCCAGTTCTGTATGCATAAATAAATCTTCTAAAAAAATTTCATATGGAAGAATGAGAGGATTTTGAAGACCATGTTGATAAGGGGAACTTGCCCTGTAATATGATAAGATTTTTTATAAAAGCACAGTAAAATAAAAGTAGTATAGGAGCAGGTATAGATAGTTAGACGGTGGAACAGAATATATCACTGTGAAAAATAATACACATACCCAAATTATAAGTAACAGATTATGTTGTTAGTGAGTAGAGGAAGAACAAGTGCATTATATTTAATAAGTGATACTGGGTCAAACTGATGAGCTATATGGAATGAAAAAATTTCCCAAATTGCACAAAAAGTTATCAATATATTTAAAAAAATTCCAAAAAACGATAAAATTTTATACATTCAGAATACTGGTGGATATAACTTTGAGATAGAAAGGATATCTTAAAGAACACATAGAAAGTGTGAACCATGAAAGATATTTAAAATTTTTTAATTTTATTTCACAAAGAGACATCATAAAGTTCTAGGAGGCACAAAAGAATGAAGTTGAATTCCTTAACTCACATTATATATAAACATAAACTCAAAATAGATCAAATTCCTAAGAGTTAAAATTATACAACCTGGCCCTCCCTGGTGGCGCAGCGGGTTAAAGCACAGCACTGAGAATCTGAAGCCACTTCCGTATGAGTTCGATTCCCGCCTGCTGCCTGCCCCGGAGGAGACCACATGGCGAGCCAGACCTCTCCTGACCCGCCCGCTGCTCCCCTCAGCAGTGTACTTCGTCAATCTGCCTGTTCTGCTCCCCACTCTGTCTCTGGTGAAGCCTCTCACCGTCCCTGAGCCTCTGGCCTGTACCCCAGTTCTGTATGAATAAATAAATAAATCTTAAAAAAAAAAAAATTATACAACCTACAAGAAAACATGACACCAAAACTCAGAACTTCAAAGAAAAAAAATAATAACAGACTTAAAGTTAAAAACTTTTATGCATCAAAGAACATCAGAAGTGAAAAGGCAGCAAACAAAATAGGAGAAAGTATTTGCTGAGGGTCTGGTATTTAATATATATAGAATACTTTTACAAAAAAAAGATGATCCTTTTTTTTTAAATGGACAGAAGCATTTGAATGAAAACTTCTCTAACACAAAAAAATGACATTTAAGAGTTGAACAATTTTGATCCAATTGATCAGAATTTTTTTATGTACACATACTTACTTGCACCTTTTTCTTTAACTTAACAGAACAACAATGTATCCTTCCAGAATAACAAATACTTGTAAATTCAATGTTTTGATTAAATTCATAAAAGCTAGAATTAAGAATCATTTTTTCAAATACTGAATTTTTATATACTTGCTGATAATTTTCTATTTTATATTATGGACATTCATTTCCTTATGCTTTTTCTCATCTACTGTTTAGTTGTGGTTTTTTTTTGAGGCAACACTGATTTACAACATTGTCTGATTTTATGGTATAGGATCACATCCTTTAGGTGATTTTTACCTGTCACCACACTCACCACCTAGGCAATGAAGGTGATCCACCATAATCTGTCCTGCTCCCTCCCTACTTAGCTCTACCTTCCCTGATAGCATCAGTTCTACAGTGATATTTCTAACATTTATTATTGGGTTGGCTTTATCTGACCCTTTGGTTTCTCTGTATGCCTAATAATACAATGTGCTATTTGTCTCTCTCCTTATGACTTATTTTGCTTAGCATAATTCCCTCCAATTCCATCATGTTACAGAATTCTAGAGTTTATATTTTGTTAAAGCTAAGTGGTATTTCACTGTGTATATATATTCTACATCTTCCTAATCTACTTAAGTCTTTGGGCACTAAGGTTGTTTCCATAACTTGGCTATTATAGTGTTGTCAACTCACATATCCCTTCTTGTTATCTACCTTACATTGTTCAAATACTTAGATGTGGATTGCTGGATCACATGGTAAACCTATTTTTAGTATTTTGAGAAACCTCCAAGCTTTTCCCTAAGGACTGTACCAGCTGGTAATCCAACCAACAGCATATAAGTGTTTCTTTTTCTCCACATCCTTGTTTCTGATCTTTTTTATATGGGCTGTTATTACAGGTGTGAGATGGTATCTCATTGTGGTTTTGATTTTAATTTCCCTAACAATAAGAGATGATGAGCATTTTTAATGTGCCTGTGGCCATCCGTATGTCTTCTTTAGAGAGTATTTATTTAGCTCTTCTGCTCATTTCTTGAATGGGCTATTTACTTTCTTTTTATTGAGTTGTATGGGATCTTTGTAGCTCTTGGATATCAGCCACTTGTCAGAAGTATGGTATGCAAATATAACTACCTTTTAATAGGGTGTGTTTGTTTTAGCTTTGGTTTCTTTCATTATACAGAAGCTTTTTAGAGATGTAGTCCCATTTGTTTATATTCTCTCATTTTTTCTTAGTGTTGGAGATGAAGCCACAAAGACATCACTTTAGCTTATAGTGTATTTTGTCTGTGTTTTTATTAAGTATTTTATGGCTTCAGGTCTTAGAACCATTTTATGTTAATTTTTGTATATAGCACTTGATACTTGCTACTTTATTCTTTTGCTTGTAACTATTCAGTTTTCCCAACAGTTTTTGTTGAAGAGGCTTTCCTTTCTCTGCCATATACTCTTGACTTTTTTTTAAGATTTATTTATTTATGCATACAGAACTGGGGTACAGGCCAGAGGTGCAGGGCAGTGAGAGGACTCACCAGAGACAGAGTGGGGAGCAGAACAGGCCGACTGACGAAGTACACTGCTGAGGGGAGCCACAGGCAGGTCAGGAAAGGCCTGCCGTGCCACGTGGGTCACCTCGCGGGCAGGCAGGGATTGAACTTACGCAAAAGTGGCTTTAGCTTCCTAGTGTTGTGCCTTAACCCGATGCACCACCAGGGAGGGCTGACTACTTTTTCTTACATTAACTGTCTATACAGGCGTGGGTTTATTTCTGTGATCACAAATCTGTACCACTGACTTGTGTGTCTTTGTTTCAGTGACATACTGTTTTTAATTATTATAGGTCTATAGTATAAAATCTAGGCATGTATACCATCATTCTTCGTCTTTTTGTTAGCGTTTCTTTAGCTATGGTGAATCTCTTGTGGCTCCATGAGAACTTTACTAATATTCTATTTCTTCGAAGTTTGCCATTGAAACTTTGATAGAATTACAATGAGTCTATATTTTGCTTTTAGTGAAAGGGCCATATTCACAATGTTAATTTTTCCAGTCCATGAGCAGGAGATACCTTTCTATTTCTTTATGTTATTTTCTATTTCTCTTTACAGTTTTCATTGTTTAAACCTTCTACCTTTTTAAGTTTATTTCTAAGTATTTGATTTTTTTTGATGCCATTGTAATTGGGATTTCCTCTTCTTTTAGCTCATTGGTTGCATATAGGAATGCAATTGATTTTGTAATCTGCCACTTTCTGAATGGATTTATTATTTTAATCAGTTTTTTTGGTGAAGATTTTATATATATTATCATGTCATCTGCAAATAATGATAGTTTTGCTTCTTTCCCAATTTGTAATGTTACTATATTGTTCTCTTGCCTAATTGCATTAGGTAGGACTTCCAGTACTACCTTGAGTAGTATTGGTAAGAGTGGGTATCTTTGTCTTATACCAGGTCTTGATAAAAGTAGGATGTGGAAGTCCCCCAGTTACTAATGTTGTTACCAATGTCCATTTTCAGATTGATAATATTTGCCTTACATATTTTGATATACCCTCATTCAGGAATGTATATCAATAAGTATTGCATCTTCCTGATGTATTGTTCCCTTAATTATTAATTATATCATGTACATCCCTGTTTTTGGTTACTTTTTTTTATAATTAATATAATAATTTATTTTTACATCATTTTGTGCTTTTTTCCATCTCATTTGTAATCCATGTGGGCTTTCCATCACCAGATCACCCATGTGCCATCATGGTTACCTTTTTTTAGATGCAGATCTATTTTACCTGACATAAGTGTGACTATCCTCCCTTTCTTTGGGTCCTCTTTATTTGTAGGGTTTTTTTTTTCCCAAAAAACTTTACTTAAAAACTGTGTTTACCTTTGAAGCTCAGGTGTCTTCTATGGAGACAGCAAAAAGTTGGATTTTGTTTTCTCATCACCCAGCCACTTTTGATTGGTGAGTTTAGTTCACTTACACTTAGGGTGATTATCGATATGAGTGCTACTGTCATTTTTTTTTTCTAGTTTTCTGGTTCTTTCTATTTACTCAATTTTGTTTTGTTTTGTTTTTGTTTGTTTTTTTTTGGTTACCGTTCTCTTCAATCTTGATGTGAAAACACCTTTGAGCATTTTTTTGTAGGGGAGGTCTAGTGTTGGCAAACTACATTAACTTATGTTTGTCTAGAAAGTTTTTTTTATTTCTCCTTCATATGTTGGATAAATAAGTCTTGTTGGATAAAATATTCTAGGCTGGCAGTTTTTGTCTATAAATTCTTTGACTATATCATGCTATTCCTTCTTTGTCCATAGTTATTTACTCAGAGAAGCCAGTATAAGCCTTATGGGGGTACCTTTAGAAGTCATCTGTTTTTACCCCCTAGCCAGTTCCGTATTCTTTGTCTTAAGTTCTTGTCAATTTCACAATAATATGTCTTAGGATAGGTGTCATTATATTTTGTTAGCTAGGTATTCTTTCATTTATTTTTTTTAATGGAATAGTATGCATAGAGAGGTGAGGAAATAAATTCCCTAAGTTACCTATCACCTTGTGGATAAATGTCTAGCCAAATAAGTTTGAGCCACAGGTATTTTTTTCAGCTTCTTGAAATTGTATGGTTAGTTCCTTCTCCAGGTTTGAGAAGTTTTCCTCTTTATTTCTTTGAATACATTTTCTGATCCCTTCTTTTTCTTTCCCTTCTGGTAATACCATTATTATAGTCCCTTTCCTTATGGGGTTGAATAATTCTTAAAGTGTTTCTTCTTCTTTTTTTTCCCTTTTTATATTGCTCTTCTTCCTCCTGTATTATCTGTGAGGTTAGTGATTCTCTTTCATTGATCTATTCTATTTTCATAGTTTTCTCTGGAAATTTTTATACTTATATTTTTATATCCTATATCTCTTGTTTTCTTAATCCAAGCTTCAGTTTCTGTCTCTGTTCATTGATCTTATTTCTCCAGATATTCCTTTGTTTTTCTGAGTTTCCATGTATATTTTTTTCAGATTTTCTTTATCTTATACCTCTGGTTTTTTTTTTTTAAAGATTTATTTTTTTATTCATACAGAACTGGGGTACAGGCCAGAGGTGCAGAGGCAGTGAGAGGATTCACCAGAGACAGAGTGTGGTACAGAACAGGCCGACTGATGAAGTACACTGCTGAGGGGAGCAGCGGGCGGGTCAGGAGAGGTCTGCCATGCCATGTGGTCACCTCCGGGGCAGGCGGGAATCGAACTCTTGCGGAAGTGGCTTTAGCTTCTCAGTGCAGTGCTTTAACCCGCTGCGCCACCAGGGAGGGCCTACCTCTGGTTTTTTTTTTATAATGGCAAACTTGAAGTATGTGTCTAATAGGGAGAAAAGGTCTTACATTCTTTGTATTTGGATTCAGAAGATTTCTTTTTCTGTGGTGAAATATTCACTTGAGGACTCAAGGTACATGTCGTATATTTCCCCATTTTGTAGCTTTCTTGGTTAATGTTTATTCATGTCCTAAGGGCACAGAACTACTTTTCCAGCAAATGGCTATGTATAAGTAGAACTGACCTGCAGATGCTGACTTATAAGAGAATGTCTTGGAGGAAATTCTCTTGTAAGGAATGTCCTGGACGTGAAAGCGGTGTGTGCAGACAGCTCACATTTGAGGCATCAGCTCTTTGGATTTCCAGATCCATGTCTCTCCAGTCTGCAGGCCAGGCTTTTGACATTTTGCTTACCAGGATCAGCTCAACTCCTGAGGGGATAGAGGAGTGACAGTGCCAGTCTTTTACTGGGGGCCCTGCCTGCCTGGCTCACCACAGCACCTCCACATATACCTCCCCACAGTCAAGGATGTCTCTATACCAAACAGTTCCTTCTGAGGTGAACAGCCAAACACAGTAGTGCAGCCATGCACATAGTTCCCCATGTGGCTCTCTACATCCACCTTTTGTTGTATTGAGTTGAATTTCCTCAGTGTCCAAAAGATCTTGGTCAGTGTTATTTCCGATATCCAGGAGGCACTCCAGTTTCACCTCAAGTCTTGATCCTCCCAAGGCCAGTGCCCCTCCAAATTACCTTAGATTATCATCCAGGGAGTGAAGCAGGAAACCTCCTTAGGCACCATTTTCTTCTTTAGCAGTGTCTTACTCACATTTTTATTTTTCTCTCCTATTCACTGTACTTATAGCTGACTCCCTTTTGTTTTTCCTGAAATCTTACTACTATTTGTTAAGTTTAAGATGGGTTATCATTATCACAGAAATTTTTAGTTAGGAAAATGGTTGAAGGAATTGAAATTGGGGAAATGAATCAGGAGTTAGTTTAAGGAGTTCAGTTCAAGGAAGTGCCATATTGCATTTCACAAAGAACAGAGTTAAGATTAAGTTCTGGCATTATATTACTAACTTACAAGTGTGAGGAACAACATTAAGGGCAGCTAAAGCACCAACATCATTTGTTTTGCCATTCCTTTGTACTGCCGCTGTACTCAGACTTCTACTGTACTTCTCCACTAGATGTCCTCTTCTCTCTAGAATTACCCTTCAAAGAAATTAGCTGTTGGTAGAACCTAGGGCCCCATTTTCATACTAGTTTTATATGTAAAAGAGGGCACATAATGCAGAGATTCTGTCACTTGGCTAAAATCAAGACACGTATTCTCTTTTCACTTGGGAGTCAATAAAACCAGTAGTTTCTCCCTTTTTAGACCTAACATTAGATTTGTCTAGCTTATTAATAACTGATGATGGTAAAATTATTTGGCAGTTTGAATTAAGTTGTTAAACTGTTTTGTGGATAATTACTGCAATTAATTTTTGATGATATAAACTGTTACCTTTGTCTTGGAATGCGAAAGTCAATTGCTAGGAAATAACTATTAGAAAATAAATGATACCAGCATTCTGAGTGTTTAAACCATATCTAATTATAGACATCTATATTCTTTGTTGTTCAAGCTAAACTTTATTTTCCACAATGAAAAGTTGCCATATTTTGTTGGCAATATTCTGCTAAAACCCTTTGATAAAAAGTGTCATAATATGTAAAGATCTTATTACTCATCAGAATTTACTTATTCTCTTACTTGCAGAGAGTAAATCTAATATTTTCAATTAATGACCATGTAATTTTGTTTAGAAACTAAAAAACATATATAATCTGCCCAAAGTTTAATCTTTCTGTATTTGTGGTAAGTTTTTTAAGTTCTAGCTTGGAGAATAATCATGTATGGTTTTCCTTTGTTTTTTTTTCCCTAAGGAACTGGCATTTGATCCATATGAATCTTATGCTCGAGATATTTTACGACCTGGTTTTCATGATCGTTTCCTTAGTCAGTTATCAAAGCCTGGGGCAGCACTCTATTTGCAGGTATAGTAATTTTTAAATCAAGTTGTATGATTTCTGAAAAGTAAACTTAAAAAAAATTAATCACTTTGTTTTCTAGTCAATAGGTGAAGGTTTCAAAGAAGCTGTTCAGTATGTATTACCCAGGCTACTTCTAGCCCCTGTTTACCACTGTCTGCATTACTTTGAGCTTTTGAAGGTAAGGAAACACTTAGTGATATTTATAAAATATTATAAGCAATTCATTTTTTTGTTATGGGCATCTGTGTAGATTAATCTGTTATCTGTTGTCTTTTTCCAATAAAGCAAATATAAATGAATCTGCAAAAGAGCAGCATATTTTCTTCAGTTTTAAGAGTGAGTTTTAGTGCAACCTTAAGATATTTTTTATCTTGTGTCCTTTTTATTTAAATGACTGATTCTTTGGAAGCATTTATGTACCCAACTCTTCATTTTGGGACTGCTACAATTTTGGAACTTAGGTTTCATGTGGGAATAGGCCAGGCTATGGGGAAGATTAATTTAGCTACTTTTTATAGCTCAGGTTTGCAAAAATGAAAATCCTTATCATTACTAGAAGCAGTGAACTTTGTATATGATCAAAGTTCAAATAACCCATTTTAGAAGCTGTGATTTAAAGACAAGGGTTTTGCTTTTGTTTTTACCTTTTCCTATTATACATTGACATTACTTAAGGTAAGAGGTAACCTTAGCCTATAAAAAATATAATCCAGTAGTGTAGCTCAAAACAATTTGCTTTAAAATATATTATGTATCTTATGATGTCCCCTTTGGGTTATAGCTAGTATGTTTTATAAAAACAGTCTATCTTTAATATACTAACACCATAAAGACAAAACAAGACATATATTACTATTATTTCTTCAGCTTGTGAAAGGGTGTTTTGTTAAGAAAAATTCTACTATGATTTTTTTTTTTAAAGATTTATTTATTCATTCATATGGAACTGGGGTACAGGCCAGAGATGTGGATGGTGAGAGGATTCACCAGAGACAAAGTGGGGAGCAGAACAGGCAGATCAACGAAGTACACTGCTGAGGGGAGCAGCGGGCGGGTCAGGAGAGGTCTGCCACGCCATGTGGTCACCTCCGGGGCAGGCGGGAATCGAACTCATGCAGAAGTGGCTTTTAGCTTCTTAGTGCTGTGTTTTAACCCGCTGCACCACCAGGAAGGGCCTCTACTATGATGTTTTAATTGTAGAGAATGTACTACTAGAAGTCTTATTTATAATTTTCAGGAGTAGATGATGAAGTGGGCTTGACTCATGAATGAATAAAAGATCTCTATATTTAATGTAGTTGAAGAGCTCTCACCCTTACATTTCCCCTTCATTTTACTGGGATTTTTTATATTCTATAATTCTGGAATTAAATTAGAGTTCTCAAGTACCAATTTCTGAATTTTGAAAGGACTAAGTTCTTAGTCCTTAGCTCTCTTTTTAGACTACAAACTATTTAAGTAGTAAGATATTTAAATAATAAGACAAATAGTAAACTAAGTAGACTACTACTATTTAAAGTTGTTGGTGATACAGGATAATTATTTTAAGAAGATAATCAAAAGGAATAGCTTTTAGTGTCTGTCCAAAGGCACTCTTTACAAAGAAATTGTGACAACATTTTTTTTAGGGTTGATTTCAGACTCAACTCCACTCTTCAGATTTTAACTTGCTTTTACATCATCATCATCATCATTAATATTGTTGTATTTTCTGCCATTTTTTCCCTCATGTTCTCATTCTAGAATTCTAATTACATGTCTGTTGAAATAACAGTTGAGACTTTGTTTTTCTTAAGTACTTTTTTCTTTGATCTTCTAGTGGTAACTGATCTATAAATTTAACTTCATTTTTATATTAACTCTACAATTTCTACTGGCATTTGTTTTATAGTTTCCAGAGACTCCCTACCTGTCTATTTAATAAGACTGTTTTCTTTAATTTTTTTTAACATAATCATAAAAGTCACTTTGAATTCTTTCCTAAATCCAACATTTGGGCGCACTTGGAGTTTAGTTTATATTAACTGACTTTTTTCTCTGCAGGCAAGTTATGTTTTCCTGTTTTGTTTTCAGTTTAACAACTCTGGATTCTGTTGTGTTAAGGACTGTTGAATTTTTACCCTAGAAGACAGTTGACTTTCCTGAACTGAACTGTAAATTTGTCTGTTCTATGTTGCAGAGCAGCTATATTTTATTGACTTCAGCTATATTTTAGGACTTCAGTCTGCAGGGAATTTTTAATCAGACTCTCCTCATCGCAGTGTATTTCAGTACATCTGGGCTTGATCTGCCCCCTACTCTGTATCTGGTGAATCCTCTCATGCCACCCTCAGTCCCCTGCACTTCTGGCCTGCACCCCAGTTCTTGTACATATAAATAAATACTTTAAAAACAGAAAGCAAATTATTTGAGTGTCATAATCTTTGTTTCAGTTAGTCTTTAAGAGAGTATTTGAGTTATGAAGTAGCAAAAAAATCCAGAACACTTGTTTTAATTAGTTACACCCTTAGCAGTGTATTTCAGTGGGTCCACCTGTTCTGCTACCCACTCTGTCTCTGGTGAACCCTCTCAACCCCTGCACCTCTGATCTGTACTCTCCTATGCAAAAATAAATCTTTAAAAAAGAAAAGAAAAGAAAAGTCACTTAACTGAGTAATTCTGAGTTCTGGCCTTGCCTGCCTCTATACCAGGTAATGGCAATTCTTTCAATATTATATAATCTCTTATTGGAGAAAACTAATTTTAGAAATAAAAACATGAATTCTGATTTTTTTAACAAAGGGAAAAGAAACTTTTTATGCTTGTGAATTTGTTGAATTCATAATATACATTGGGTATAACATTATTAATCACTGGTAAAAGTAACCCCATTGTTCTCAAAATACAAATCTCATCATAGAGAATATGTTTTAATTGATAAGTTTAAAAAACTAAATGAATTGTATTAGTAGCATTAAATTGTTGCCTATTAAATAAGCACCTATGAAAAGCATGGTATTGGACATCACATTGGTAATGTGGATGCTGCTTTGTAGAGTCTTATTTACATACTAATTGATAATGCTGCTGTAGCTACAATATACCGTCCTTTGGATGGTAGTTAGCTTGCGTTATTCTGCACCAATGCCTAGTTTAAATGAGCTATCTTCAGTGAAAGGAGCAAAGTATGTTCATGAGAAAGGTTATCTATTACACTGAAATTTATTTTAGATGCTTGCCTATGGCATGAAGATATAAAAACACTTTTAAGATTATTTCTTCAAGGCCCACCCTGGTGACACAATAGGTTAAAGCGCAGCACTGTAAAGTTGTCAGCAGTCACTGCAGCACGAGTTCAATCCCCGGCCAGGGAGGTGACCCACACGGCATGGCAAACCTCTCCTGACCTGCCCACTGCTCCCTTCAACAGTGTATTTCAGTTTGCCTGTTCTGTTCCTTAACTGTCTCTGGTGAATCCTCTCACCACCACCTCCATCCCCACCTCTGGTATGTACCCCAGTTCTGTATGCATAAATAAATCTTTTTTAAAAAGATTGTTTCATCAAGAAAGTTCTGTAGGTTTTGAAATGGAGGTTAAGTTTGTGGTTTTGGAATATATTAACAATATTTTGGAGGACCTTTTATATTCTGTATGTGAAATGCTATAATTATATGATAGATAAGTAACCCAGAAACTTGAAACATTTTTAAAATAGAAAGTCAAATCCATGTCCAAATATATTTGTTTCTTTCATAGCTGTTTTTGTGTGTGTTGTGTGTTTTCTATGACTTTAGATAAGTTTGCTAAATTAATCATACAATGATATCAAAGAATGAAGGACTCAGTAATATTCTGCTTATCAGGGTTAATTCTTTAAGACTAAAAACTTGTCTTATATTGACTTGAACATTGAATGATTAAATTCTGAAAGAACTCAGTGAAATAGGAAATAGTTCACTCTTTAGTGAACTATTACATCATGTAGAATTTTGCCTCTTACAGTTAGATTATCTGTTGCCTTTGAAATGTCAACTTGATAAGATTAATGTTAACATTTGCCTCTAGAAATTCTGTCATGTGTGAGGTAAACAAGTTAGAATGATAGAGATAAAAGTATTACTCAGAGTCCATCTTTCTGCCTACCTGTATTATTCATTAAATAAAAACCTATACTCATTCTTTATGAACATGTAACTATTGAACTTCTTTAATATAGCTGACTATAATCTAGAACAATACAAAATGAATAAAAAAGTATTTGAAAAAAGTGCAGATTAGGCCTCTGATGGAAATATGAATTTTTGATATAAATTAATAGATTTGAATAATAAATGCATTAATAAGCCTTGCAGTGTATTTATTACTTCAGGAACATTTGTATTAAGATCGTTTAAGTGTATTATTTTTTAAATTGGTTTGAAGCATTCACTAACAAATCTATTTACTTTCACAGGTCATCAAAACGTGTGTGTGTATGAGAGAGAGAGAAAGAGACTAATTTTTATCAGTAGAAGCAGAAAGGAATATAGTTTATCCTTATGAATACTATTCAGAAAATAAATCCTTAAAGTACTAATGAAATAATGAATAATGAAACTTGTTGAAAGTAAATTTTTATTAATTACTTTGAACATTTTATGATTTTATTTATCAAGTCTTCCTTTCTGGTAGAAAGTACTCTTAAATGTTGTGTGAAAGCACATTGATTTAAACAAAAAAAACTTATTTCTTAACTTTTCCTATTTAGTAGCCAGACACAAATTTAGAAGGTTACTAAGTAACTGTCACTCATACCTCAGATAATTGCTTACATGAACTAGTCACCTTGCTGTATTGCTATAAATAGTAAATGATGAAAAAAATGGTTAATGATGAGTATTTGTTAACTACATAATTTCACTAGTATTTGTTAACTCATAATTTCACTAGCATATATTCCTAGTCTTATTTAAAATCTTACTATTTGAATGCTGAGGAAGTTCTTCATTTCACTGTTAACTCTGTAGTAGAGCTACAAAAAAAAACAACTTACACTTAAATTGTACCTTATTTTTTCTAAGCACTTTGATTTTTAATAAAAAACCCATAAAGTAGGTAGGACAGGCAATGAAACTCATTTGATAGATGGGGGAAATGAGATGCAGAAGTCAAGTAACTGGCCCCAAGGCTACACAAAAATAGTTATTTCTTTGCCTACATCTTGTTGACTCCAGATGGCAGAATCAGAAACCTCAGACCAAAATCTACATTTCCAAAAATCTCACCTATGTGCCGACTGTTAAGTCTTATACTCAGAAATGTATTTATGTCCCTCATTTCTTTTCAATAATGTGCATGTGAGAAACTGTACATTATTGCTTGTTATAAGATATGACATCTTTAAACACTGTTTCTACTTTTTTTTTTAATGTGGAAAACTTGGCTGAATGTTGATGTAGGTTGCAATATACAAAGAGGAAAACGACTTATAAAGAATCATCATGCACAGGGGTTAAAGTCTTGATGCTGTCAAACTACCAATAGCCACTGCAGCGTGAGTTCAATCCACAGCCAGGGAGCTAACCCCACATGGTGCAGCAGACCTCTCTGGTCTCATCCATGCCTTCCCTTAGCAGTGCATTTCAGTAGGTCTGCCTGTTCTGCTCCCTGCTCCCAAATTTGTCTGATTAAACTTCTCACCTCTGTGCCCCAGTTCTTGTATGCATAAAAAAGAAATAACTCTTTTTTAAAAAGGATAATTCATGACAACTTAAAAAAATTTTTGTGGAGTCAATATCTTTTATCACTTAAAAATGGGCTTATTATATTTTTATCCAAAATTGTTCCATTGATTCAGATTTGTCATTTTGACTTTGCAGCAGCTAGAAGAAAAGAGTGAAGATCAAGAAGACAAGGAATGTTTGAAACAAGCAATAACAGCTTTACTTAATGTTCAAAGTGGTATGGAAAAAATATGTTCTAAAAGCCTTGCAAAACGAAGACTGAGGTGAATATTTTCACTTTTTTTAGTAATCCTCCTTTTTTGCCCTGAATATCATGGTATAAATTCAAAGATCCCATTTCCCTCCTCAAGTAAACAATGAAGAAAATAGTTTTAGTGACAAGCTTGGTCTTTCAGAGGAAGTGACATCAAAGCCAAGAGAATTTGTTATTGTTTGAAAAACCTTTCATATTTGTGCATTTTCCTTGCATACTCCCAGACAAGACCTCCTGAGAGTCAACTGGTAAGCTACAGAAGAGATAGAGCAAAATGTATCGGGTAGATTTATGTCAGCATCATTGTTCTGTCAAAGTAAAAGTAGTATCTTTTATTTTAGGGATTATATAACTTGAGGCATTAATTCAGATAACATGCTTCCAGTTTCCTAATTATAATGTGTGCATGTTTTTTTAGCTTTGGGTCTTTTTAAATCTCTTAAATTACTATTTCCCACTATATTGAGCTACTTTTTAATACTTGTCATTCTAAATATTTAATAGCCAGGGTAGAAATAATCATCCTGTAGATGAATATATAGGGTAGAATATTGTCCATAGTGATTGTTCTTTTAGAGCACTAAAAAAAAATGTCTCTACTCTGTTTAGTTTCAGATTGTGTAATTTTGTGACACTAATATATTTGGAGAGTTAGTGATTGTCTCAGTGCAACTTTTAAAATGTTCTTTTACATTCTCTTTATATAAATTCTAGATTCTCTGTCATCTGCTTACTAATAATGTTTTTCTTTTATCCCAGTGAATCTGCATGTCGGTTTTATAGTCAGCAAATGAAGGGAAAACAACTAGCAATCAAGAAAATGAACGAGATCCAGAAGAATATTGATGGTTGGGAGGGAAAAGACATTGGACAGTGCTGCAATGAGTTTATAATGGAAGGAACTCTTACACGTGTGGGAGCCAAACATGAGAGACACATATTTCTCTTTGATGGCTTAATGATTTGCTGTAAATCAAATCATGGACAGCCAAGACTTCCTGGTGCTAGCAATGCAGAATATCGTCTTAAAGAAAAATTTTTTATGAGAAAGGTACAAATTAATGACAAAGATGACACCAGTGAGTACAAGCATGCTTTTGAAATAATTTTAAAGGATGAAAATAGTGTTATATTTTCTGCCAAGTCAGCTGAAGAGAAAAACAACTGGATGGCAGCATTGATATCTTTACAGTACCGGAGTACACTGGAAAGGATGCTTGATGTGACAATGCTACAGGAAGAAAAGGAGGAGCAGATGAGACTCCCCAGTGCTGATGTTTATAGATTTGCAGAACCTGACTCTGAAGAGAATATAATATTTGAAGAAAACATGCAGCCCAAAGCTGGAATTCCAATTATCAAAGCAGGAACTGTTATTAAACTTATAGAGAGGCTCACATATCATATGTATGCAGGTAAGAAATACAAAGTTGCCTGTCACTTTTATTTTTCTGCTTCATGCTGCCTTTCTTTGCCACACAGGTCATTGTGCCTAAAATAGAAAGCAAACTAACAAAAGACCTCTCTTACCAGAGTTTACTTGCCTTTAAATAAAATACCACCACTTTATATTTCTTTGAAATTTTTACTTTTCTACCACATATACAATTATTCTTTCTTTTTTACTTTACAACCAGAATTATGAATTTAAAAGTGAAGGTACTTAGCTAAATTTACCCAAGTTGATAGGGGCAGAAACAAGATTAAAAGAACTAATTACACATCATCGTTATAGTTTAAAAGATGTTTTACCTTTTTACCATTTCCATCTTTACACTTTTCATTCTTGAGATGATAAAATCAGTAAAAAAATTTTTAATATTTATCCATCAAAATTATGCTGATAATACAAATATACAGTTTTTCTTTTTCTTAATATTAATTAAAGCTTACTAAATTTGGCAATCCTGGAGGTCATTTAAGTTTTCAATATTTTCTGCTTTTCTACAACTGATAGAAGAAAATAATTTCACCTAAACATGGCAATTTTTAGAGACAAAAATGGCCAAACTCGTTAGAAAAAATGCAACAGGCTGAATCATATATAATGGATTGAGAGGTAAAGAATAAATATAACTTATTTTTTAAGTATCTTTAATAGAGCTACAAGTGATAATCCAACATTCTTTAATTTTCAACTTCCCTACATCGATGATGTTTGATAATTATAAAATAATATTAGAGTTGTGGTATAGAGGAAAGAATACATAATTTGAATTAAAACCCTCACTTTATCATAGTTCCTTAACGAAGTCCCTAACTAAGAACTTTTAATTTTCATCTCCAAAATCAGTATCACAGACACTACCCTACAATGTTGTTGGGAAAAATAAATACTATATGCGAAAACTCTTTGTAAATATAAATATAAACTTATTTTCAAAGAATGTTTTTAAGACAGAAGATCAAATGTAACTCTTAAAACAGGCTTAACACAAATAGTTGAACATGAAAGTTAACCTGCTTCTTCATACGTCTTGATTATTTCTAGATGTGTGTGTCTAGGGAAATTTTTCTTCTCTAACTTCTAAAAAGCCTCATTCTCCCTGGAAACCATTCTGGTACCACTTTAAACTTTTAAGAATAAGCACTCTAATCAAAGTTAATAAAAATTAATAATATTCAATAATGCTAATCTGTTTGTTTGTAAAATACCTACTAGAACTACTGATATGACAATCAGGGCCATCCTACAAGAAAGTAAATTTAAATATTTTTATCAATGATATCAAAGTACTATAAAAAGATGATTTATTTCATTTTCTGCATATACCTTTGAGACAAATAGCCAGTGTTTTTATTTGTTTAGTTTTTATTTGGCCTCTAATTACTGGTTCTTTTGCTAGTGTTTTTCATAGGTTAACTTTAAATGCAGTAGGTTCTCTAAGCACAAACCATTCGGTAATAGCAGGCAGTTGCTGAAACGTATGTTGAGTATAGTAAAAGAAGTCTGGTCTGGAATTTCAATTTTGTTATTACTTTTTCACCTAGAAACATTTTCAATCAAGGTATTTAGTTAGCTGACTCAGAACAGAAAAATAAAGCAAAAGAATTTAGAAAACTGCTTAGGATTTTACATGAAAAGAAGATATTGTCATCTCTTTTACATATAAATCTTTTTTAAGAGTTATATTTTATTTTCACCTACTACTTAGTTGATTTTTCCCACTTTTATATACTCATTAAAATCTAGCCAGAATTTGTGGTTTCAAATACTCATTTGTTACTTCTTATGTTATTTTTAAGGTTATGGAGTTGAAATTGCTCTTCTTGCCACATTATTCTGATTTTTAGGCACCTTAGAAAATGCACTAATTTTTAGTCTAAAAACTAATTTTTATTTGTCTTTACTTATTAAATATTTAGTATTTATTTTAAATATCTTTGAGTCCTTAAGTTGCTTAAGGGTGATGTTAATCCTTAGATTTTTATCTGTATATGACAGATGTTTTACTGTTGTAGTTTTTTTCATATGGAGTGGTAAGGGCTGAAGACTTACTACTGTTCACTGTCACACATCAGTGGTATTTGAGTTGGAAAATATTTCCAAACTCCATTGTTTCTGTAAAACTTGATTGCTGATAAAATTTTTCTTTAAACTACTTGGCTATATTTCACAGAGCTAAGTTGTGATTATTGATAAGTAGTTACAGAACTACAGTTAAATACTTTTCTGAGAATTGTGACTTGTTTATTTTTTATATGAGGACACTTTAAAATAAAACTTGAAATAGCATAACTGATAATGTTTCTGTGGTCTTGGCAGTCTCTCCGTACTAAACAGGTCTGTAGACTCAGTACTTTGTAATGGTGTTTTTGTTTGTTGCTTTTGATGATTGCTCTCCTTCAGATTAAATTTTAGCTTTTAAGTAGGGCAATATTTTAAATGGTTTTAATTCTACTTAATATAAAACACAAATTCTGGGGTTTTCAAATCTCAATTGATAAGTTGTTTTAACTTTTAAAACATTAATTTTTTTAATACTTTTTATTAATTTCTTAAGGAATAAAATACAAGCATTGGTTTTAGAAGTATTGTGACAAAGGTTTTCTATCTTCTTTTGAAATTAAATATTTTAACATATCATAAATGTTAGTAAATGTAAGTTAGTAATGTAAGCAGTCTTCTTGTGTTGTAGTTTACAGTACACACAAATTAGTATTATTAGCTTATTTTGACACTTCTGTAAGGTTTATCACCCCTTGGCAGTAATACAGAATGTATACTACACTGCCTGTATAATGTGTTTTTAATAGATCATCTACAAACTTATGAAACATGAAAGCAGTTATTTTTAAGGTGTTTTTCAGCTCCAATGAGCTCTGAGACCTTAGTGATATTAAATCATTACCATTTGTTTTAAGAACTGTTGGTCTACTTTGGGGGGAAGGATGTTTCAGTTGGTTGGTAGGTATTTTTATTACATAACGTACAGTATATGATGTGGTTTACAATAAAACAAAAGCTAAAATTTAATTTGCTCATTTTTATTAGAGTATAAGTTTTTTAAAAAGACACTGGCTTTTAACACATGAGAAAATTTAGTAGCCAATTAGTACTGTTTACAGATACTTTTTTAGGTTATAATTTAGCCATACATTGTCATTAAAAAAAAAAAAAGGCAGAAAACTGATTTAACTTTATTTAAATTAGAATTCAGAGTGGCTTTGCACAGTTTGATCTCTCAGGTGTCTTAGCAGTTTATCACATTTAGATTTCTAGGTTTACACAAGATAAGCAATCCCTAACTGTAGAGACAAAAATCTAAGGCCCCTGAAAGCTATGTGAATTGCCAGAAATCATCATTTAATTGCAGAAAGAGGATTTGAAATTAAGGTTCTTGACTCCTAATAGAATAGACTTTCCACTGATGTACATCAACTCACATATAAGATGATTTTTTTTCATTATTGGGATATAATATAATTTTAATTATGTGTACTAAATAATGGAAATACTGATTTGAATTAACAATAATATAGATCATTTGTTCATTTCTGGGCAAATGTAGCTCTACTTTGAAAATATAATTAGTAACTTTTTTTAATGGAAATCGGTAATAAGTTCTGACTATAAATAAACTCCATTTTAATGTTTACTTATTTAGCTATTGGTCATAATTGTTTTACATTTTAACAAAATCTAGTTACTAATGTTTTAGGGTATTTTCTCTGTAAAGGAAAACTTTTTGGGAAAACAAAATTAGGTGAAATATAAAATGGGTGACTGTTGCTTAAAAGATTGCAGCGGGGGGTTGATATGGAATCAATTTTAAAGCTGTTCTCTCAGGTCCAGTGTTTATGGAAAAATAACTATTTGCTCACTACATCATAACTTAGTTTCATTCCAAATGCTTGAGAGATCAGAGCAGATCATTCTGAATTGGGGATGCATTTGAAGATACTGTCCTTATTTACTGTCCTTATTTAAGAAGAGATATGTAGGAATTTTTCTTCTGTTCAACAAGTATAGGACAATACAAACCAATTATTGAGACTTGAAGCAACATGGGTAAAGAAAAAAATGACATGTCTGGTTTGTTAGCCTATATTAGAAAAATGAGGTGACATTGAGGTGGGTAAAATAATTCAAACTGACATAATTTGGAAATAAAAGTTTTTCATACATCAAGTGGGGAGAGGGATGTTTCCAAAGAATGGTGAACATCTCTTTTATATTTAGAAAATGGTATCAAAAAATAAAAACCATTTGTTACTTTTCTTGATTTACATCCTCATATAGAAAATCTTCAAAAGCTTATACTTGATTTCTTTTGAGTTTGTGTCCTATACAAGTTCAGCATGGGTGTTTTTAGAAAAATCTTTTGAACAATTTTTGATCTATAGGGCAGTGCTGTTCTATTTTTAAACTCTCTGATTTCTTTTTAAGTGTTTGTGCGTCAGCATAGCGTCTGTTTCCTTTCTTAAGGAATTCAAGAGTGATTGTTTATAAATCCTTGTTGAGGAGCTTATTGTTTCTTGTAGCTTTTTAAATGGCTATATTAAAGGAGGATTATCACATGAACAGACATCCTGATTAACAGTGTTTTACCACTGTGGCTGGGGGAGGGTGTTTTAACTAAATAACTGTAATATTTCATAAATTTCATTGATCTTGCCAAATAAAATGTCAAACTGTCAGTTAAAATAGGCACATAAGTGAAAAAAGGATTAAATTTCTTGCCTCACATCTAGTATGTTATATTCTGAACATTAAGTATATTTTGAATTCCTAGGATTTCAAAGAACTATGCAATAAAATATTACCAAAGAATAGTTTTAGAATGAAGGAGACATGTAGCTAGAAGTAATTACCAATCATGTTTGAGCTATCCTAAATCTGGAACCAGGGACTTACTGGTATAAATTGCAAATATTTGTATAGAGGATAAGCAGAGCAGCCACTGAATATGTTACAAATAAGAACAGATATTTGGGATTCAAGTAGAAGAGCTTTTTACCTATAATAAGGAAGAAGGAAAAACCATGAGCAAGTTTTTATTGTTATTTATACTGACTGTTTGGGATTATGTTTGAGAGAGAGGGGTTAAAAATTAATAAGCAGGTGATAAAGGAAGCATATCAAAACAGCCTGTTTTAATTTATTCCACAAATATTTGTGCGTATGTTTTAAAACCAAACCAACCTGGCTTTTGTACTATTATGCATTTGCCATCCATCTGTCTCTGAAACGTCATTTTATAATATAGGTAGATACCTGCTGCTCCACAACCAACAGAGGCAGTATGAAACTTAGCTTTTATCATTGCCTGATAAATGTAAGTAAGAACTTTGTTTTCTTACAAAATTATATGACCTGTCCTTATTGATGGGTATTTTAAAAAACATCAAATTATCTTAGCCCTTTTATCAACAATAAAATAAAGATCTCCTGTGGTTATTGTGACATAGTGTATTATAATGATTAAAATAGGGACATCAATGGAAATTAAAAATAGCTTCTGGCATATATATAATATTTATATGCTTTTGTGTGTGAAATTTCCAATACAGATCTTATGTCCTCTCCTATGTTTTTCATTCACTAGTGATTTTTCAATGTTTTAGACTAAAAGTATTTTTCTAAATAATTGCAACCCTGAGAATATATTCATCCTTTAAGATATTTTTTTGAAAGTATTTAAGCATTGCCAAATTTTCTTGTTTTATTTTTAGCTTCTGCTCTCTTCTTTTTGGCATGCTGGGTCTTTAGTTTTTAATTAAGCTAAAAACACTTTAAGATTGAGTCACTTTAGAACCTAATACAACAGTGATGATTGTGGAAATGTTTATTTCATTGCCAACTTCAGAAGCTCCTCTTCTAAATACAGTGTACAGGAAAGCTACTTCCTGAAGTCTGGAAGATGGCTTAACACGAATTACAGAATCACAATTAGACTGCTAAGTTTTTAATGACTTTCTAATACCATTAATCAAGATGATCAGTTTGAATTAATTTATTTAAATTTCTGTAGTGATTATTTTGATTTAGTCTTTAAATCTCACAATGTTATATGATACCATAAAAAAAGAACACACATTATAGGTTATGGTTTCATGTCTGCCACGCTACGATATGACCTTTGATATATCTTAGTTACTTCTCACATTTAGAAAGAAGAAAATGTCACCAGCCTTACTTCATAGAAATGGAATAGAATAAATTATGGGAAACCTCTTTAAGCATGTTATGTAACAAGTGTCAGGAACTGCTGTGATTCCCCTTTTCATTGATGTGGCCCTGAAGTACTGAAATGGCCAATTTTAAGATAAAAAGATCATTTGAAAATAGTTTGCCTTAAAAAAAAGTTATCTAAACATACTTACATTCGCTTAGAACTTGCTTTTATTCTATTTCAACTTAAAATACCTTTGATATCCCACAACTTTTTAGCCTTACTTAGGTGCCATTGGCGAAGTGGACCTGGATGTTGATTTTAGACTTACAGATTGAAATAAACTTTTCTTGTGAAAAACAGAGGGGGTGACTGGAAAGGTTGGACAAAGCTAAAGAGGTACTTGGTACTCTTACTAGGAGTCGGGGCTCTTCAACAGTGACACTTGAACATTTCTACGATGGCCACTGCTTTATCTTCCTAATACACATGATGTTTTGTGTAGCCTCACCTTACAAATAGATTTGCAGAACTGGAAGAAGATTCTTGAAAGGGAGAATTGTGATGAAACCGATATAAATCTCTGTTTTAAAATCTTGTACAGGCTTCTGTTTTTAAATCTTTTCTTCTGGATGAGACATTAGTCTTTAACGTTTGAGGAACTCTGTAACTGAAGACAAACAATAAAATACCAACAGATAGGAAATCACTCAAGAATTATATGTAGTTAAATTACTGTTATCAGTAACCCACTTCAGCCTCAGAAGATATAGAACTAAAGGAAAAATGGGCATTTAAAATCAATATGGTTTTATTGTGTAAGTTTTTCATTAACTTACAAAACTTTAAATTTTCAAAACAATTTTAAATTCAAGGTTGTGTGAGATTTACATCAATCCATTATCTTGATAACACATAGGCCAATATTTTTATTTTATGAGAAATCTACACATTTGCTTTTCTCTATGGGAAAATTTAATATTTTAAGGATGTGTGGTTCTTAGTTAGAATCAGGTGAAATAGAGAATTTCAAACAAATGAATTCTTGCTAAATCTTATGTTGATAAAAATCATACTTCTTATAAAGGGCACATAGTTTATAGTCTTAACAAAAATAAAGGTAGTTGCTATTCTCAGTGTGTTTCTCATTAGTTTAGCAGTTCATAATACAAAAAAGGGAAAAGAAAGCTTCTTTTCAATGAGCTCTCCACTCCTTTTAAAAGACAACTAGATGTGGATCGTAATGAAATTTAAGTTATAGAGGGGAGTGACATCTCTCCCCCTTTCATGTAAAAGATGGCAACCCATGTCTCTTGTGCTAGTGACAGCAACCTTTCTCTACAACTTGGAAGAGCACTGTCAGGGAGAGACTGGAGTAGGCCAGGCCTGGTGACATCATACTGTCTCCTGTTTTTTTCTTCATGGAAATGTGGATGAAAAGTAGGACCTCTTGTGGAAAGGGCGAGATTCCTGCTCTTCTGATGTGAACTCTGATTATAACTATGTAAAATAAAATAAATTAAGAATTGTGTCTAAAACCAAATTGATGTATTCTAATTTAAAAACAATATTTAATTTATGACATTATAAGATCTAGTATCTCTGTTAACATGATTAGAGAAATCTGGATAGCTGATTCTAAATAAACTAGCCTGTGTATCAAAAAAAAAAAACCAATTTGGTTATTACTATGAACTTCCTCTTTAAGAGGGAAATAAAACCAACTGGTAATCCTCTGAGATCCAGCTAACAGGGGAGTTTCCTTCCATGTCCTACATTTATGTGTCTTCCCTTCAAATTTCTAGTAAGTGACTAGTAAGTTTAAGTCAGCTGGTCAGAATATACCGAGATCAAGAAATAAATTGACATAAAATTTTCCTATTAGTGGTTTTGCCACTAACTTAGAAAGTTTAAAGATAGTGATTCATTATAAAGTCCAAAGCATTCAATATGGTCAAAATATTGGGGGACTTTGAAAACTGACTAGTCTCGTTGGAAAGTGTAAATAATAGTTTTAATCATCTGAATTGAAATTTTAATAAGATATTTTTCCTTTTCTTCTTAGATCCCAATTTTGTTCGGACATTTCTTACAACTTACAGATCCTTTTGTAAACCTCAAGAACTACTGAGTCTTATAATAGAAAGGTCTGTCAATTTAAGATGTTTAAATTCCTTTTTTTTTTTTTAAAGAATTTAAGCTAAGATCTTTTGTTTCTTGGAACTGTTGACTGAGTTTTAAATTGTAGTTCATGCGCACTTTTTTTTTTTTAGGATTTATTTATTTATGCATACAGAACTGGGGTACAGGCCAGAGGTGCAGGGGTGGTGGGAGGATTCACCAAAGACACAAGGGAAAAGAACAGGCAGATTAACTAAAATACACTGCTGAGGGGAGCAGCCGGCAGGCCAGGAGAGGTCTGCCACACCACGTGGTTCACCTCCAGGGCCAGGGATCGAACTTACGCTGAAGTGGCCTTAGCTTTGTAGTGCTGTGCTTTAATCCACTGTGCCACCAGGGAGGGCCCATGAGCACTTTTTAAATAATTCAATCTCTCTTAGACAACCATTTATTTTGTAGCAGTGTTAGTGCAGACTAGTTAAATACAAAAATAGGTATTGTGTTTTAACATAGAATCTCAGCAAGTGAAATTTCAAACTTCTAGAAATATTCAAATTAAAGAGTTATATAAAATGTATAATTTGGGCTCTGGAAATTCAAATTTTGCTTTGATGTTCTAAATAGAAGTTTTCAAATATACCATTTGTTGAAGAGATATTGTCAGTGAACAGATACTGTAACCAAGGGAAGTGTTTTTTCTGCCCAAACAGGGCAGTCAGATTTTCAAGTATTTCCCTTAAAAATTGTTAGCTGATTTAGAGTGATTTTACAAACCAAAATTGAACATCAGCCCCCTAACTGTATGATCACTTTTAGGTTTAGAGTTTGCATATATTCAGTATTTTTATGTTTTTGGTTTTACTTAGCAAATATTAATTTCTTTTAAAAAATAAGATTACTAACTTACATTATAGGAGCCTCAACTTGTTTTCACTGGTGTATTAGTAACTTAGTAATATTTTACAGTAGTCTCTTGATTATGCTAGCTAGTGAATGGGCTTGTGGTTTTCTGTATATAATTTTATGATTAGTAATTTCGCTAGTTTGTTCTGTTTTGTTAGGTTTGAAATACCAGAACCTGAGCCAACAGAAGCTGATCGCATAGCTATAGAGAATGGAGATCAGCCTTTGAGTGCAGAGCTAAAAAGGTTTAGAAAAGAATATATACAGCCTGTACAACTACGGTGAGCATAAAATAAATAACTGAAAAAAAATGCATCTTTGTCGACCTTTTGTGTCAAGGTTGAATTATATAAAGATCTTTTCCAGGCAAGAGGAGGTAACAGTTAAAAAGCAATTATCTGAAATTGTTATAGAAGTCTTAATAAAATTTTGAAAGTGTTAAACCACTTAAGAAATTATTTAATTTGGTAAGTTACTGCTTTCACATATGTCACTTATTGTGATAAACATGTGTGGTTCAGTTCCTGTGTAACACCATTATCCTTCTGCATTGATGCCATAGAGTATTAAATGTATGCCGGCACTGGGTAGAGCACCACTTCTATGATTTTGAAAGAGATGCAGATCTTTTGCAACGAATGGAAGAATTTATTGGAACAGTAAGAGGTACAGTTTTTTTGAGTGCCTATTTTATATAAAATATAATTACCAACATGGTTACTGTCAGTGTCATCACTACTTAGTGTTGTTTATGATCATGTGAAAAACTAAAAACTTGTCATCAGTTTTGACTTACCTACTGCTTGGTAATTAACCTTTTGACCCAATGTATTTTCATTTAGTAAATCAATATACTAATAATTTTACGACTGAATAGAAAAAGTCTCAAATTAAGCTGCCTTTACACTCATCTAAAAGTATGTGTACTAAAAGACAATTAGGAACTAATATACCAATTTAACACTACTGGTAGAGGTTGACTTCCCATAATTAAGTGAATAATGTATATGTTGGAGAGGCAAGAGAGCACATTGAACTGAGAACTGAGAAATATGAGTTCTCATTCTGTTTCTTATCAGTAAAGGAGCTGGACTTCATGACCCCAGAGTTTTCCTTCTAGGTTTACATGTCCTGTAATTGTATAGATTTAAGAATATTCTAGACAAAATTGTTTCTTTTTTCTTTGTACAGTCTAAATGAGAATCAGAAAATAAAGGAGTAAATAACAGAATTTTCATGCATAGTATAAAAGAAAGTCACATAAAAATTTACACTAAAATTAAGGAATTATTTCTCTGGCACTGTTTGGTTCATAAAATGCATTGTTAATTTGATTAATAGTGAATGTGTATAATCTCTCCTTATAAAATTTGTGTAAAATAATTCTTTTGAGGGAGGATTATAAAAATATTTTGAACTGAAGCTCAAAACAATAAAGGTGAAAAATCTCTATAAATAAATGACATTTAAAATTTATTTAGAAAGGATATGGAAAAATATATATTAACTAATAATGGTTACCCAGGTGAAGTGAATGAGATTGGAATAGGGGACACAGAAATAGTAACATGGAACTTAACATTTTTTATTTTGGTCATGTGAACTGTATTGCAAAGATATATTCAAGTATTACTATTGTTTTAAACTTTTTTAAAAATATTCCATAAGAAGTATTTAAATGATATTTTTAAATGTAATATATTTTAGGTAAAGCAATGAAAAAATGGGTTGAATCCATCACTAAAATAATCCAAAGGAAAAAAATTGCAAGAGACAATGGACCAGGTCATAATATAACATTTCAGAGTTCACCTCCCACAGTTGAGTGGCATATAAGCAGACCTGGGCACATAGAGACTTTTGACCTGCTCACCTTACACCCAATAGAAATTGCTCGACAACTGACTCTACTTGAATCAGATCTATATCGGTATGTAATTTGACTTTCAAGCTGAAACATCTTTCAGGGAAGTTTGTTTAAATGAAAAGCCTAGTTTCTTTTTATGGGGTTGTTATAAACTATAAATGAATAGAGCATGAAATAAAACATTCCTTCCTCTTTGACTCTTCACCCCTGGATATCTGGAATTACAGCTCTGTTTCTTTCTGCAGTCACTTCTGTTGGTAAAGCTAGGTTCATATCTTGATTTTAATAATTCTTGTCTTGGTATCAATACCTTGGACAATTTTTCCTTTTTGTGTAAGTTTTATCTTTCTGCCCCTTATATTCCTTAAGAATAAAATGGGCCTAATGATAATACAGCAGGTCATTGAAAAATGTCAATTTGTTGAATGTCATATCATTAAAATACTGATAAGAAAATCATACCACCTGATATTGAAGGAAACGTTATTGAGGGCCTGCTTTCATTGTACATCCTTTCATGGTCTCACTTGTATGTGGACTATAGAGAAACCAAACAAAGGGTTAGGAAAAAGATAAAACTTGCAAGCTGACCATAAATCTGAAGCATACAGGAAGGAAGGAGAGAGAAGGGATCAAAACAGGGGTGAGAAGAGCACAGAGGACTATGTTAAGTATCACAGGGGCTATGGTAGTGGGAGACTAACTACAAGGACTGTATGTGAGGGGAGAAGTAGAATAATTCACCCAAATCCAAAAATTAACAATAATGTAAGAAAAAAAATAATAAAAATTAAAAAACAAACAAGTTATACGTCCTTTCACTTAAATCAGTTTCCAAGGATCTCCTGTCAAGGAGGCTGTTAAGTGAGGACTGCTCTTTGGGTTGTTGTGAGATTTAAAATAGTCAGTATTTATTTTAGTGCTTAACACATTGCCCAGAGCAAAGAGCTCACTGTCAGCCCTACTGTTGCAGTTGTGCGCTTCAGTGGTGGCCAGTTATTTATAGCCATTTTTAATTTTTTTACATTTATTTAACTATCACAAAAAAAGTGTTTCTAGTTTATAAATGTTACTATTTAGAATTTTAAACTAAATTATTTTTAATACTAAATGAAAAATGGATCTAAACCTACAAATCTCTTTTTATCCAAAAATTACTCTCAGAATGCAGTTTACCTATTTCTGAAGACCCTTTGTGTTAGGTTTATTCTCCCCTTAGTGAGATGCAAATTAAATTTTTTATAAATTTCAATGGTTCCTATACCTTCACTGGGCTTCATTTTAAAAAGTACTATCGCAAGCTACCTTTTCACCCTTATTGCTATAATTTTTAAAATAATATAATAGTTTTATTTTTACATCATTTTGCTATATAATATTTTAGAAGTGCAGGAAAGATATTATGAAGACTTCTCAACCACCTATACACAAAGCACAATGCTACTATAAAGCAATAATGAAAATACACAGGTACTTACATAAAAATATAGTTTAATCTATAGAAAAAGATGCGATTATAATTTTTTAATTTGTTTTTCATAAGCCTTTCTTTGGTATAAGGGGAAGATTTATATGAGGGTTTAATTCTTATTCATCTTACTATGTAATAAAACAGTATAGTAGAAGAAAGAGTCATGTAGAATTATGTCTTGATTTTAGAGCTGTCCAGCCATCAGAATTAGTTGGCAGCGTATGGACAAAAGAAGATAAAGAAATTAATTCTCCTAATCTTTTGAAAATGATCAGGCACACCACTAATCTCACTCTGTGGTTTGAAAAGTAAGTATTACTGATACTTTTATATTTCAAGGCAGTCAGCTATATTATAGATTTCAGTGTAGTTCTATTTCTGTCTCATATCTTTTTTTTGTTCTCTACTTTCTTTTGCACTGAATGAATATTTTTAAGGTAGCATTTTAATTTAATTAATGAGTATTTTCATTATATTTTGAGCTATTTTAGTGGTTGCTTTAGGGTTTACCATGTTATGTGTCATATTAGAATCAATTCAGATGTATAGTAGCTTAATTCCTATTAATAAAGTTAATTCCAGTTAATTGAGCGCTCATGTAGTTCTGTTCCCTTCCCTCTCCTTTTTGTGAAATTATCCATATTACATATAATTAATGTTGTAAATCTAACAATACTTTGCTGTAATTGTTGCTTTATCATTTTCTTAGTCAATCATAGCTTCACTCTCCACTCTCTCCTGTCTCCTTTTGTATGGTTATTGGCAATATATTTACACATGTATTACATTTCTATGTTAAAGCCCACTAATACATTATATGTACATTATTTTATAAAATAGCTTCTTAAATCAGTTGAAAGAATAATTAAGGAAAAAATAAGCATTTTGTACTTTTATAACCACAAAATCATCTCTTCTGGTACTTGTTTGTGTGGAGTCCTAGTATTTTGGGTTACATGCTTTGTTTGAAGAATTTCTTGAGTATTTCACATGCTGTGGTTTTGCTAACAAGTTCTCTAAGTTTTAGTTTATTTGGGAGAGTATTTTATCTTCATTTTTGAGTGATAGTTTTACCCACAAGTTAAATAGTATTTTCTTCTGTTCAAGTCTATTATTGAACTCCCTAGTGAGTTACTTACTTCAATTATCATACTTTAAATTCCAGAGTTTTCATTTGGCTCCTTTTTATATGGTTTTCTATGTCTTGTATATTCTATCTTGAAAGTACCTTGTTCTACTTTTAAAATCATACTTTAGTTCTGTGAAAAATATTCCTATAATAACTACTTTGAAGTTATTTTGTTTAATCTGACATCAGGTTTTTCTCATGGGAAATTATTGTTCTCTGCTTCTCTCCCTTCTCCAGTCCTCACCCCCACCCCAAACCTGTGTATAGGTCATACTTTTCCTGTTTCTTTGCATGTTTTTTAATTTCATGTTGGAAGTTTGTTATTTTAGATAATATGCTTCAACAACTGTGAGTACTACCCCACTTACCCTTCAAGGCTTGTTATTGTTTGTTTAGTGACTAACTGGATTATTTCAATGAAACCTATTCTCACCCTCACCCTGACTGAGATGTTCCTCTTCTGGAAGGTACAAATTTCCACATGCCCACAGTCACCCTACGAGATAGTAGCAGAATTGGCCTTTCTTACCTCTTCCTCGATTGTGCCCAATTGTTAAACTCCACTAATTAGTAGTTGATTGCTCTCTGTTGTTTTCTATTATGCCCTGGTGGCATAATAGAATTGCTCTACAAACTAGCTCAGTTGTCCCCTTTGAAGAAATGATTTTGAGGTCTTTGATATTTTTCTAGCTCTAGGAAGGCTCTTCCTACAGCTGTTCTTATTCACTCGTTCTTTCTGCAAAGTAGTCATCTAGAAAAATCTAAACTATATCTTATCAGATCCAAGAATCTCCCAATTACCTTTCACAATTTTCATTGTTCTTGAAGAGCCCCCTTAGGTTTAAACTTCACACTTTGTTGCAAATGACAAGAGATTGGATTGTGACAGTGGCAAGATTCTCTGGCATTCTTGTTCTAGGATCTGACTGGTGTTAAGGGTAGGATGAACTGGCAAATAGGTGTTTTCTCTTGTTGTAGAACCACTTCAATTGGAGCCAGGAGAGGACTATCTTCCTATTAATTTACAGTAAAATATATTCAGGATAAAGCCTTTGTTACATGTAGGAATTAGGCAGAAGGGAGTCACCTCTTTTCAGCTGACCCCACCTGGACTTAGCCTCTACAACTGCCAGCTTGGGACAGCATAACAAATGCTGACATCCTCCTCCTCCTGCAGGGAGAAAGCCTCCCATTGGGGTACTGAAAGAACACAGAGCCTGACGTTCTTGTTGGTTGCAGTGTCTGCAAAAGACCTTCTCTGAAAAGGAGAAAGGGTACTGTCCCGGTTCATGTTCAAATACCACAAACCATTGTCAAGAACGATGAAAATTGTGAAAGTTAATTGGGAGATTCTTGGATCTGATAAGATATAGTTTAGATTTTTCCAGCTGACTATTTGCAGAGAGAAACTTTGTAGCTTTTTCTTAATGAGCTGTTTCATTTATTGTTTGCTTTTTGAGCCATCTCCAGAGACTTTAAATGTGCTATATGTGTGTGTATGTGCATGCATGTATGTATGTGTATGATCTAAAATAAAACTTCAAGGACCACCTTTGCTGGCACAAAGGGTTAAGTCTCAGCACCTTGCAGCACAAGTTTGACCCCTGCCAAAGGAGCTAACCCACATGGTGCAGCAGACCTCTCCTGTCTCACCCACTGCTTTCCCTCAGCAGTGTATTTCAGTTCATCTGCCTGTTCTGCTCTCCATGCTGTCTCTGGTGAATCCTCTCACCCCTGCACCTCTGGCCTACACCCCAGGTTTTTATGCATAAAAAATAACAAGTCTTTTTTTTAATAATAAAATAAAACTTTAAAATTTGCCTTCTAAATATTGCTTCATGGTTTCATTACTAAGTTAAATACCTACACTTAAGTATACAGAAATCCTTTTCCATTATAACAATGAAAACTTACATCTAAAAAAAGAGAAAATATAACTGATAAGACATAGCAAACCATTTCTTTCCTTTTTTAAATAGATTGCTGAAGCCATTCCCTACTTTTTCTTTTAAATTGTGATAAGACCACTTAACAAGAAAGCTATCCTTTTAACAGATTTCTTTTCAATGTACAAATCCAGTATTGCCATTGTAGGCATAATGTTATGCAAACTCCTAGAACTATTCATCATGAATAACTGAAATGTTTTGTTTAGCAGTTCCCCATTTCCCCTTCCTCTCTAGCCTCTGGCAATTACTACTCTATTTTTCTGAGTTTTGACAGCTATAGCTATCTTATATGTAAAATTTTTTAGTATTTGTTCTTATGTGACTCTCATTTCATTTAGCATTATATTCTCAGTGCTCATCCATATTGCATGTGCATAATTTCTTTTTAAAGATCAAATAATATCCCCATTATATGTCTAAATCACATTTTCTTTATCAGTTTATCCATAGGTGAACATTTGAGATTCTCCACATCTTGGCCATTATGAATAGCACTGTAGTGAACAAAGGATGCTAATATATCCTTGAGATCATGATTTTGATGCTTTTAGATAAATAGGGAAGAGTGGTTTACTGGATAACATAGTTGTATTTTCAATGTTTTTATAAAATTCAGTACTGTTTTCCATAGCAGCTTTATCATTTTGCCTTCCCACCAACCAGGTACACAAGGCTTTTAATTCCTGCTTTTTCAATGTGAAAAGTTCTGTTCATTTGCCATGTTCATCATTTTCATAGCTGTGATGTGCATTAGAATTGGGGCACCTATAGGTAGGCACCCCGGATTTATTTTTTTTAAGTACCACCAGTGATTATAGTTTGTACACTTCAGTTAATACCAACTGAAATAATTTAAATAAAACATATAAATTCTACTTGTAATAACATCCATCTAACTTCTTAGACTTGTAATAACATCCATCTAACTTCTTAGCCTCAGAATGTAATATATTTGTGGAGATCTAGTTAATGCTTTAAACATATAATCATGCTGTGTTTATTTTGATAATTTTGCAATATTTTTTCCTTAGTGTTCAGCCTCATTAGAAAGTGTAATTTTACATTTAAAAATGTGTTTACTATTGATTTATTTTTTCCATGTACAAATCCCTTTCTTCTTAGATTGTAAAGTGCTTAATATTACATTATTGAATACCACTTATTTTTTTACCATTGACCATTTTTTGAGTAAAGTATGATTTCTTTTGGCTGTTTATTGATACAAATATATCTTTTTTCCAAGAATTTTGGTATTTAATGTAAAGTACTTTTGCTTTCATTGACTTTTCTAAGTAGTTTTTTGTTTCATTTTTAATTGTAGTAGGATACTTTCATTGACTTTTGACATTATAATGCTTATCAAAAGATATATAGCAAATTATTTACACTTACCAAAAAAAAAAAATTTAAACAATCACTAAAATATTGTGATTAGACCAAGAATAGGAAACAAAGGATTCTTGAGTTTTAGAATAAATTCCCTAAAACACACCTTCATCCCAAAGGCCACCATACTGTCAACGAGATACTAGCCTCATTGGTTATTCTAATGCTGAAAAGGATGCATCAAATATAGGAGGAAAATGATTGATGTGTTGACTAAATCAGTCTGGAAAAGAGTGATGAACAGCATGCCTAGCTGTGAAAATAATGCTTTATACCTCAGTCTCCTATATCTACTTAGTACTCTGAATGTATACCCTCTATCTCTATTAGCCCTCATTCTGTATTGTTTTATTTACTACATTCCTTAGTTCATAGCTTTGTTGGGGAAACTCCCAATGTTTTTTTTTTCATTCAGTTTTTCCTCTTTGATTCCCAGATGTATTGTAGAAACTGAAAATTTAGAAGAAAGAGTAGCTGTGGTGAGTCGAATAATTGAGATTCTGCAAGTCTTTCAAGAACTGAACAACTTCAATGGTGTCCTTGAAGTTGTCAGTGCTATGAACTCATCACCTGTTTACAGACTAGACCATACATTCGAGGTAGGTTCATATAGGTGTTTTTAAAAATAAGTTCCATTCCCTGTTATAAGAATCAGGATTTTTGCAAGGTTTTTTTTTAATAATAGTTTACTTTTACATCATTTTGTGCCTTTTTCCATCTCAAGATTTTAGCAATTTAAAATGTTGCCTTTATCTTTATAGTTTAAAAGGTGGAATTAGCTAGATTTTATAATGAACTGGTTACTCTTTTTATACCTCCTTATTAAAATGCATTCATAGGTCCTAACCTAGGTAGAGGAAAAAAGATTTCAGAGCTCAGTTTATACTATAATGTACAATTAAATACATTATTGTTTGAGGAATGGTAAGATAAATTAGATTTTTTACAAATCTTTCTGTTCTTTCCATTTCTATTAGGTCCACGAAGATAGTTTCTTTAAGTAGTATTGTCAACCTGATGCTATTGTGATTGGGCTTCACTCAGAGACTGATATTTTTTGATAAAACCTGTGATTCTTTTATAAACTCATACTTGACTTTTTTTTTTTTTTTTTTTTTTAGCAAATACCAAGTCGCCAAAAGAAAATTTTAGAAGAAGCTCATGAATTAAGTGAAGATCACTATAAGAAATATTTGGCAAAACTCAGGTCTATTAATCCACCATGTGTGCCTTTCTTTGGTGAGCATTTCTTCTTGAGTTATTATTGTGATTTGGATAAAATAAGACATTTATTTCATTAAATGACTTGAGTTTATACTTGTATAATATATAAGCAGAAAGTATTCAAGAAATAGTCTAAGAATTCAAGAAATAGTCTAAGTATTCAAGAAATAGTCTAAGAATTCTCTTAGACTATTTCTCTACTAGGACTTCTAAAGATTAAGTCCAATATGCATTCCATTTTTTTCCATCTTTGGTGATTTGCTATAATGGTTTACTTAGTTTTTACACTCATAGATATCTTTTTAATTGAATTTTAATAAACTAGACACCTCAAAGAACAGACATGGCCCCAACTCATCCATACTTATAATTGTTTCTTATAGTTTCACATGACTAACAATCAGTGTATCGTTGAGCCCATACTTTTAGTATATCAAATTTTTAATCTCTTTACCTTCCCTTTTTTTTTTCTGTACCACCAGAGAAAAATCTTTTTCTTCATTTTAAGACTGAAATATATACCATCTGAATCTTCTCCCTCTCTGTAGTTCCCTCTAATTTACCTTATCATTTATTTCTTGTATCATTTATTTTCTTTGCCTATGTATAGAGAGAGAGAAAGAGTGTGCGTTCTTATGACTCTTCCTTGGGATACTTGAAAAAATTGCTCTTTTACACACCTAGTGGTTAGTCATTTTAGCATGTGATGTATTTTCTCCTAGCCTTTCCTCATCAATCTATAACTTTTTTGTTTAACTTTTATACAGCATATAACAATGTTATATCCTCAGTTTTTTCAATTAAACATTGCCCAAGTTTAATGACTAACCTCTTTTACATTTACTTCTAATATTTTTACTGAACACATTTTATATAGTTGTAATTATATGACATGTATACATTAATAATTTTTTACTTACCATATCCTAAATATACTGTGTTGTTTTAGTCTTCATAATTTCCACTTGTAATAGCTGCACAATATTCCGTAAAGTTAATAGGAATATTTAATCATTACCCTTTATTTGGACAAATTTCTAGCTTTTTTGCTTTTTCAACTTGATAAATTTTGCCAAGTTGCTTTCTCAAAGACTTATAGCCATTTATGCAGAAGTATATGACAAAGCAAATTCCTTTGCATCATTTCTTTTTTTGGGTACTTTGCTTCAATTCTGTATTTTTACATATGAAAGCTACTACATATGAATTTAATGTTTTTAAATACTGTGAATATTTTTCATGTAAATTTTGCTTTCATTCTTGTCTATAGTCTTTTACATCTGCTATATTTACTTTACCAATCTGCCTTTTAGTTTTTTATTCTTTTAAATACTTTAAAATTCTGTAATCTGTCAGGTTTTCCTTCCCATATTGATTACTCTTGTTTCTAACCTTAGGATGTTTTTTCAGTGTAGCAATTATATTTTCTTCTATCTTTATGATTTAACCTGAAACTTTTTTTTTAATATTTATGCATACAAAACTGGGGTACAGGCCAGAGGAGCAGGGGTGGCGAGAGGATTCACCAGAGACAGAGTGGGGAGGAGAACAGGCAGATCAATGAAGTTACCTGCTGAGGGGAGCAGCAGGAGGGTCAGGAGAAGTCTGACACACCATGTGGCTCACCTCGTGGGGCACGCTAACCTGTTGCACCACTAGGGAGGGACCCGAAACTATTTTTGTCTTTTAGACAGCATATGAAATATTTGAATTTATTTTTACAACAAATTGTGTTTTTTTAATTACATATATATTTTTTACATCTTCATGTTATATATTTTTTCATCGCAGTTGTAATCCCCGTGGACGTCCCACCACCACTTCACCCGTGTGCCATCATCATAGTCCCATGTGCTCTACCCGCCCCAGTTCTGATCCTATTCTCTGCTCCTCCCCTGTGGAATGTGTCTGGTTTATAGTTGTTAGTTGATTTTCGTTTTTACTTTATTACAATTACTTTTTGTTTCTTTGTTTATATTTTTTATTCCAAGTTTGTCAGTAATTCTTTTTTTCCCTCATTTACATATGGCACCTTCTTTGATAAATAGTTTCCCCTTAGCCTCTTATACTTAGTGTTCCAGTTGCAATGATAAGCACTTTATATAATCTGTGATTCTCAACTGAGGTCATTTCCTTCCCTAATCCCCTTTAAGATACTCCTCCCCAAAATTTAGCAATGTTTAGAGATTTCTGTTGTATTTCTAATTGAGAGGTACCAGAGGCATCTAGAGGATAGAGAATAGGGTGTTGCTAACATCGTACAATGGGCAGGAAAGCCCTCAGAATAACTATTCGATCCCAAAGGTCAGCTATACCAAGACTGAAAATGCTGCTTTTTACAATGTTTTCATATATGATAAAGTTAGTTCTCAAGTGTTTCTTCAGTCCATTCTTTGCCATTTTGTCTTTATTTTTCCAAAAGAACTTTTTAATTTGTAGGGGTTTTCATCATTTAGGAATCAGTTATCTTTAATTCCAAGAACTTTGAATTTCCTTTTATTTTCTAAATATTCAACCACATCTGCCAATAATGTCAGTGTCTCTCTTCCTTTGGTCTTACCTGTGTTAGGTCTTATGACATTGGTCATAACTTCCCAAACAAAGGATAAGGAATAATGATTAAAAATAAGCAGCTCTGTTTTCATTTGTTTCAGGAGTAATAGGTATACTTTTGCTATTTGATTAGATGTTTTTCATTATGTTGGAAATTTCATAGTTTTCCTGTGTTTTGTTAGCAATATCCATTTACTTTTAATTTGCCATTTCAGCGAGAGAAATTTTTTTTTTATTTAGCAAATTAAAATTATAGATTTACTAATACTGACTCTTTCTATTCACTAACATTAAACCTCATTCATGGTAGATTAATCTTTTACTATACAAGTGAATTCTATTATCATTTTATTTAGGATATTTTGCATCTATCTTCATAAATGAGATTAGTCTGCTATTTTTCTTTTTATTCAGTATTTATTAGCTTTGTTTTTATGGTTATATTTACTTTGTAACATGAGTTATGTAGCTTTCTATCTTTTTCTAGTCTATTGTGAAACATCATGGAGTTATGTAGCCTTTAAATTTTTAAATATTCTAACAACAAAAAAAAAACACCTAGGTCTGGAAATCATCTGTGGATCTAATTCTGTAGTACTGCTATTATTTCTTTTTTAATGGTTTTCAGTTCTGTTGTCTCATTATTAAAAAACACTACATTCACATAGCTACAGAAATGTTATCTTTAAATTGCCCCTCTTTGCAGTGTTTTTCTCATTTCTGTATTTGTTTTACTTTATTTTTCTTCAAAAATATAAGATCTAAAACAATTATTCTCTGCTGATTGTTTTTTGTCATATATTACTTTTTGTCATTAAGTTATTGTTTTTTTCATGACTTTTCCCCCCTAAATTCTTGATAAAACTATTGAGTTCATTAAAGCCTTAAAGTCTTGTGCATTTACTTTTAAGTGCAGTGACTATGATACCAGTTCATTCAAGGGAGCCTGGGAAGGATCTGGGTAGGTCTGATGTTCATTTCATTCAATATCTTGACAAATTTTTCTTAATCACATACTAAGTATCAGGGACACTATAAGGTGCTCACAAGAAGTGACACATACATAGTCACTCTGTATGCTCACTGTACTTAATAGTTTTGCTCTTCATGATGTCCTATGGTGTCTATAAACAGAGGTGAAAGAAACTGCAGGCCTGTTCACTCCCTATTTTGTCCTTGTTCCTTCCCATCACCCTAGTTCGTGGGCATTTATTCATACAAACTGAATTTTTTAAAGTACCCTCTCTCAGATCATTGTGAACAGTTTTAATTTTAAAGCATTTTGTTAAGTGAATAAAGGAAGATTTAGGCCAAGTATATGGAGTATAATTCTAAGGTAATCTATGTTTTAGTGAATGAATAGAAGGGGTCAAGTAATGAAACAGGGTCAGCCCACCTGTGAACCACCCTGTCGTTTATGCTCCTCTTCCTTGCTCTTGAGCTTCTGTTCTCTTAAGGTAATTTACCTGAACTACCCATTGTCAGTTTTGCTGCTCTAGGAAGATTTCTGCTTTTCTTAGCTAAAGATTATTGGTCCTTGGAGTAAACTAAGCAGCCCCTCATGGTTCCGACACAGTACGTAGAGCCAAATAGTATTTCTATTTTTTGTTTTGTCGTTTTGGTAGCTTATAGAAACTCCTTCCATGTTCTTATCCGCCCCCTAAGCCCCCCACTCCTCCTCACCACCTCCATGGGAAGGTCAGGGGTAGTTCCTGATACTTTTACTTTCTCTATCATCTTGCCAGAATTTTTACTTAGTTCTTTTTCTGGCAACGTACCACTTATAAAAATCAGGAAATGTCCCCTTCCAAAGTTAAGTGATCTTAACTGGTCTATATTCCATTTTTTCTCCATATACTAATTCTACTCATAGAAATAGATGTATACACAAAATAACATTCCTTCTAAGGTAAAAGGATGTAGATTTATCTCTCACCTCTGTGCACAAACATCCATGTTTGTAGCACTAGCTTTGTTCTTTCCTTTTTAATAGCTCTAATTTTGAGTCTTTGTTTCGTTTTTTGGTTTGGTTTGTGGTTTTTTGTTTTTGTTTTTGTTTTTCCCTCAGTTTGCTTCATCTCTTCTCTTGTTTTACTGAAGTTTTAAAACTCACTATGTCACCTACATTGAGGTGTATTCTCTTCTGTTTTAAAATAACGTGTTTCCTTCATTCAGCAATATGTGTTTTGAATGCCTCCATGTGCAAGGGCCCAGGGCTTAGGTGTTGAGGATAGACCCAAAATTAGACCCACCCTCAAGCTCTCTGAAAGAGCAGAAAAAATAAATTGCATCACCATGTAGTAAATGTAAAACTGTATTATAGAAATTAAAGTGTGAACTGAGTGCTATGGGAGCCTAGAACCCTTAGAACAATATAGGGTCTGTAAAATGGTCTATTGCCAAAAGTAAATAAATAAGCTGTAACTATATATAGTATTCAAGTCTAGGTATATATTTGTACTACCTTTTTTATTTATTTTAAATTTATATACATTGAAAATGCATGCTTAAAAAAATTTTTTTTTTAACTGATGCAGAGTATCATCAAATTTGGACACCACCTTTTTTTTTATCACTATTTTAACTTGCCATCAATTTTTCATAAAATAATTTCAAATTTTATCCTGAGCTCTTCTAAAATACGTGTAAGCATTTTACAACTGCATTCAAATATACTTTATAAACACCTATAACAACCTGTAATTTATTATCTCATAAGTTCCCATTGTCGGTCAGTCATACCACCATCCATTCACAGACTGTCAAGCCCAAAATTGAGTCTTCTCTTCCCACTGCTCATATCAGTTAATCACTTATGCACTCCAGTCTGTCCCTATGCATCCTAGGCCTTCATCATCTCAGCAGGTCTACTTTTATCCAGATAACATCTTGTTTCTGGTCTTAACTCATTCAAATCCAACTGGCTTCATAGTACAGAACAAACCTTTTGGAACCTAAAGATGCTAATAATCTCATAATTACCGCTGGATAAAAGTTAAGCTCTTCAGCAAAATACTCCAGGTGCTACTACAAACTCTTCACAGTTGAGTCATTAATTTGTGGCTAATAAAATAAGTTGATTTACCATTAAATATGCATGCTGTTACAGCACGGACTTGTCAAACTGTTAAGTAGACCATGCAACTTGGTATAGAGGAAAACATTACTGGCTCAAGCAAGAGTCAAGTGACAGGCAGATGTGGGAAATTAAAAATCTGCTTACTGGACTACAGGGTAAATTGTCTTTTGAATATATCATTAAGAGTAGCCTAGGAACTCTCAACAGGACCCTTTTAGAACCAGTGGGCATTGATGTCTATCACATTTTATTACTTTTGACTGTGTTCACTACTTATTATGACTTTTCAAGAATGTGGCCAAAAACTATACTATTTAAAAATATGACTATACCGTAAAAGTATTTAGAACCACTTAGAAATAAAGTGGTTGTTGTTTTATTCATTCTTATCCAATGCACATCCTGCAGTGTTGGGGAGGGGATAGGAACTACAAATCCATTGTCCACATATCCTGCCACTCTTCCTCTACCCCACACACCAACTTCTGTTGAACATGCTGCCTCTAAGTATACCTTCATTGTAAGCTAGTGCCTTCATGTAAACATCTGCTTTGCTTAGACTACTTTCATCTTACTCATTAAATTTTGATTCATTTTTGAGACTTATTTCAAGTATCACCTCTTTTGTGATGCCTGTTCTGCTTATTTAAGGCAAAGTTAAGCATACCTCCTTTATGCTTTCATAGCATTTCATTATACATTGCTACTAATAGAACACTTACCAAAATGTACTGTGGTAGCCCACATTCAAAGCTCAGAACTTGAGGTCAAGGATTGTGAGTCTTGCTCATCTTTGTATCTGCAGTTCTTAATGCAGTGCTTGACATACAGCAGAGACTCAGTACCTGTGTATTGAGCGAATGAACTCAGATAACACACATAAAACCCTTTTCCCTCCAAAGCATCATAGTCAGTACTTTGGGGGAAAAGGCAGAAGCATAAGTGAATAGAGCAAGAATAGCAACAATATCCTAACAATCAGTCGTAGTTAATTAAACACTTAAGTTTTGACAAGCACTATTCTAAGCATATACACAAATTCACACATTTACTCCTCATAGTAACCCTTCTATCCTCACTTTACAAATGAGCAAATCAAAACACAGAAAGACTAAAGAAACTTGTACAAGATCACCGAAGTAGAAAGCAGCAGGGCTGGCTCCTGAACTTTTATGTTAGAACAGAAAGGCACTCAAGTGCTCCTGGTATCAAAGCATTGTGAAGAACTAAAATTGCTGTCATTCTGTTCATTCGCCTCCTTATCTAGCTTACAACCTGCAAATGAGGAGATGAGCTCAATTACCAGGTTGTCACTATTTCTAGAAGTACTAATGACCAGAATATATGTAAATTGCATACAATCCTGTGTTTGATAGGCTGGCAGACCCACAAGTAAACCTACTCAAATAATACTGAAACTCAGTTACTTCTTGCAGGGCATCAAGAACTGAGTAAGCCAAAAAATGTAATCCTCTGAATTTAACATGTTCCTCTTTGTCAAAATATATGTTATTACCGACAGGCTATTCTTGAACAGATTTTTAACAAAATTGTGACATATCAAATAACATGGTTAGACAAGCAGGGGCAATTGATTATGCCTCTCGAAAAGTATTAATTTTGTTAAACTTGATCTTTTTCTTGGGTATTTATAAAACTTAAGTCTGTCACAGAGGAATTTGATACTTAGAAGAAAACTTTCCCAATACTTCCTTACTTGTTTTTCATGGACTGACAATCTGTGCCCTACTGCTTTGGCTGTGGTGACTGAGATAGGACATTATGACATGTTTGAAATTACTGAAAGGAAAATAAAAACAGCTAGCTTTTCTTTCTTTATTCTTGAAATAATTTCATTATATCTTCTAGGAATTTATCTAACTAATATCTTGAAAACAGAAGAAGGCAATCCTGAGGTCCTAAAAAGGCATGGAAAAGAGCTTATAAACTTTAGTAAAAGGAGAAAAGTAGCAGAAATAACAGGAGAGATCCAGCAGTACCAAAATCAGCCTTACTGTTTACGAGTAGAATCAGATATCAAAGTAAGTTGAATTTTTTGAGGATATAATTTATGATTAAATTTGTAAACCAACTGATTAAAAAGGCACTTGATGGAGGAGAATAAAGAAAGCTTGCATGAAATAATTTAAATTTTCTTATGTTTAATGTTTTCTTAGATTCATGAATTTTTAAATGAATTTAAATTATTTAATATTAATAATTGTTTATTTCTTTGCATTTATTTTAGAGATTCTTTGAAAACTTGAACCCAATGGGAAATAGCATGGAAAAAGAATTTACAGACTATCTTTTCAACAAATCCCTAGAAATAGAACCACGAAATTCTAAGCCTCCCCCAAGATTTGTAAGCATTTATGACTTCTGTTTCTTACACATTTACATATTATTTGCAGCTATCATTTATATTTAATGTTATAAACTATTTTTCTATAAATACCTGCAGAGCAAAAGTACACTCATGATGGGTGAAAGCAATGAAATCCACGCGCAGTAAATGCGTTTGGGCAGCTGGCCTCTGCCTGCACCTGTGCAGGTGCCTCTCTTCTCTTCTCTTCTAACAAACTGCCCTCTTAAAATGTAAATAAATAAATATGTTCAGGAATATCCTACCAGGTTTCATAAATAAATGAACCTTAATATTAATCTGAATATCCCAATGTGGTAAAGAAATTGGGTGGGCATTGAAGATTTTGTTTTTTTAAAAAACAAAAATGTTATTCAAGATTTACTTTAAGGGCAGGAATTTTCATAATTTATACTAGCTCACTTAAAATATACATGTGGTGACCTCTTTTTAAAATAATGTCAGCATTCTTAACTATGAGTATTAACCATATATCAGATTTGATTAAAGATATTTTCTTTGGGAAAATAAAATTTCATTGTTTTATATTACTTGTCCATGCCTTGCCAACTTTATATACAAGTGTCATCACCTTATTGATCTGAAAACAGTCTCTTATTTGTAAAAATTTAAGAATCAAGTAACTATAAATGGCTTTGGAATGACAAGACAAATTTCACTATGTCTGTGAACTAAAGCTTATGCAGTTTCCTCACAAGAAAATTTCTCTTAGCCTAACACAGTTTTTTAAAAAGATTAAATTATAAGCAGCAAATTGGGACTAGTTATATGATCCACTCAGGTATGATTATCAGAGAAATGATCATTCTTTAAGAAAATTTCCAAAGCTTTATACACACAGATATATCTCAAGCAATTTAATGCATATCTAAATAGCTCAAATGATTCTGTCTTATAGCAAGTAAGGTTTTATAATCCATAATGATGACCCTGACTTTTACAGCATGATTAAACTGAAGAGTTCAACATAGACTGTTTAGAAACTATAAGATGGAGCCAGAGGAATATATAACACATCTTAGAGATCCATACAAAAATATTAAAAAATCAAATACCTTGGGTATTAATAGGGCTAAAACTCAGTTATTTAAAGAAGTTCATCCCTAATAATATAGATAGCAAAGACTTTAGAGAAACAGAATGTTTGTGCTTCAATTTGAGCACTTTAAATAATTATGTCACTTTATTAAAGGTGTATGGTTTTACTTGATAGTAATATTAGTTGAATTTTATCAGGTTCATAGAGAAAAATCTTACTACTCTTGTAAGAATTATGTTTCTTTTAATATGTCTACAGCCAAAAAAATACAGCTATCCCCTAAAATCTCCTGGTGTTCGTCCATCAAACCCAAGACCAGGGACCATGAGACATCCCACACCTCTGCAGCAGGAGCCAAGGAAAATCAGTTATAGTAGGATTCCTGAGAATGAAACAGAAAGTACTGCATCTGCACCAAATTCTCCAAGAACACCGTTAACACCTCCTCCTGCTTCTGGTGCTTCCAGTACCACGGACGTTTGCAGTGTATTTGATTCTGATCATTCAAGTCCTTTTCACTCAAGTAGGTGTAAAAATTTTAAGTGCTCTAAGTAATTGTTAGTATTATATGTGCTAGACGTAAAATTTTACCGAATTTTTTTATAAAGTCTATTGGAACAGCCCTTTTTAAATTTATTATATTTTACTGAAAGACCTGGTGATGAAATTTGTTATTTACACTTCGTTTGAGCATTGGTTTTCAAGTAGACAACTTGGAATACTTCTCTCATATCCAGAGAAAACAAAGGTAACTCCTAAAATCCACAAATGTTAACACAGTATTTCAAATTATTATATTTGAATACTACTTCAAGTACATCATCCCCTTCTTACCAAGCTTTGTAGGTAGTAATAATTTTGCAGTGCTTCAAATTCTTACTTATTCTTTTTTTAGTCAATACCATTCCATCAAATTATTATATAGTGTTTACTAACAAAGGCTGTCTGTTCTTTTAGGCCCAACCATGTAAGCCTCACAGGCTGTATACTATTGCTCATCCCTTTTTTATTTTAAGATGAGTGCTACCCACTAGAAATATAGTGTGAGCTACATATGAAATTTTAAGTGTACCACAGTCACATAAAAAGGAAAAATGAATTAGGGGCCTCCCTGGCTGTGCAAGGGTTAAAGACAGCTCTCTGAAGCTATCACCAGCTCTTGCAGTATGAGTTTGATCCCTAACTGGCCACGGAGCTGACCCACGTGGCACAGCAGACCTCTTCTGTCTTACCGGCTGCTCAGCAGTAGATTTCAGTGGATCTGCCTATTCTGCTCCCCTCTCTTTTCTCTGGTGAATCTTCTCACCCTCCCGCACCTCTGGCCTACACCCCAGTTCTTATATACATAAATAAATCTTAAAAAAAAAAAAAAAAGCAAAAAGAATTAGGTGATATTAATTTCATAATATTTTATTTAACCCAGCATATGCAAATTGATTTCAACATGAAATCAATTTGAAAACTTAAGATATTTTACATTCTCCGTTTTGTTCTAAATCTTCAAAATCCGTTACGCATTTTACACTTAAATCATATCTCAGTTCAGAATTGCCATATTCCAATAACAACCACATTAGCTAGTGGCTACCAAACTATATAACTGCTCTAAGCCTTTGAAAAAGCTGCCTTTTATATCTAGATGACCTGCATTCATTAATTTTCTAATCAATTTCACGTGAAGCTTTAAAGTTCCAATAATACACCTTTTTTCCTATATTCTTTATCAAATCAAGACTTGAATCCAGTCACCTTTAACCTCACAACCACTGTCACATGTTTTTCCCAATGGGCTGTCTTAGTTGAATGCATAGATCAAGTTCTACCCTAGTATTTTACAAAACAGCATCCAGTACTGAGAGGCAGAAGGACTTACAGTATGGGAAAGAGGGTGGGGGAGTGCTGACCTAGGGGTTAGGAGTCCTGTTTTTTCATTCCTGTCTGCTCATGAGCTTTTTGATTTCAGATAAAGTATTTTTTCTGTGGTTTTGAGGGTCAAACTACACTTTTAAGGCTCTATTGGTTCAGAGAATCTTAACTCTTTTATTAAAATTGGCTTGAAATTATTTGTAGTTACCCAGCAGTTTGTCTTGTCTTTTTACCAACTAAAGTGTATTTGTTTTGAAAATTACTACTTCTTGACTTTATTTGACTCTGAGAATTATTATGCATTTAAAAAGCTATCAGGATATTTTATAAATTCAAATAAATACCTAGTTAAAAAAAAGTTTTCATTCTCTCCAACTTACCAACCCCCTAAGTTAAATAATTAAATAAAACCACTTTTTTTTTTTGCAGTATACCTGATATAAAGTCATTATTATTTTTTCTCACCCATTTAACTGAGGAAGATTGATTTTGGTGGTGGTGGTGGTGTTTTTTGTGTGTGGTTTTTTTTTTTTAACCTAGAGCAGATATGACTACGGCCTACATTGTCATTATCAAGATTCCCATATAAGTGAATTGTAATCACATCAATTATAAATTTTACTTTTTACTTTCAGAAGTAGCAATAAATAGAAGTGGTGGAAAGATTAGAGATAAGGACATTATATTCCCTACTGCTAAACCTTTATATTTAAATGGTTAATCAAACAGGGGAAAAAGAATCATTTTAGAATGTAGTGCTCTGTCTGAATCAGCAGTATGTCACAAGTAATGACAGTGTATTAACCTAAGCAGCTAGACAAGTAAAAAACTATTGTTCCAGGAGCTAGACTTGAGGGCTTTCCTGGTTTCTTCTATGATAAACAAAACCCTTATACTACTCCCTTTACTTGTACTAAAAATCAAAACTGACTTTGAAAGCATATAAACTAGCATAATATAAAACCATCTATATGCTCAGTCAGTCATTTAAAAACTTACCAGTAGTGTATGAAAGGCCCCCATCTGCCTTTGACCCCACTTCCACTTAACAGACCTACTGATGCTTGTGGATGGTGGGTAGATACTCATTCGTATGCCCAACTCGAATAGATCACCCTGCCCTTCAGCTGTTTTTCTACTTTAATGCTCTTGGGGTTATAGCTTTTTTAGTTTTTAGTTTTCTTAAAAGAATACTGTTGAAATCAGTCATTTTAAATTTACTAGTGAGTTTCCTTTATAAAACATTTCTAAATGTCAAATATTTATTAATTTTTTTTAAAGACATGTCCAACTATAGAAGAAAAGTTATTCACCTTAAATCACTGAAGGGGGAGAAAACAATTTTTTAAAGTACATCATGTAATATCCAAAGCTTGTTATTTTGTGATGAGAATATAATCTCCAAGAATATTTTCAAATGCATATAATAGTAAGAAATTTCCTTTTAATTTCTATGAAATAAGTTATTTAGTACTTATTATTTAGTACTCCATTATATAGTACTTATTTCACAAGTTTGAGTTTTCAGAATAATGACATATTTCAATATGTCCAGCTAAATTCTTAGCTAAGATTGTGTTTACAATTTTTTAAGTCTCAAAAAAAGGGATATTTTAGTTTTTTCATGAATGTTTTTCAGTCAATAATTATGACATCAGTGACTCTAAAAGGAATATTCAGAATTCCCAATATATTAACTCAGTTCTTTATCTCAAAGTAAATAGCTTTTACTAAATACTGTTACACCACTCTTTGGAACTAAAACGACAAAAATAACACTTTTATCATAAAACTTTATAGACGAGTTGAATATATCAATGAAAGAGGAGAAAAAATCTACTTTTTCTTGTTTCCTTTCACAGGCAGCGATACCGTCTTTATCCAAGTTACAGTGCCCCATGGCCCAAGTTAGTATATTTGGTTTAAGATTCATAATTCTTGCTTTGGCTTTTACAATTAAACCAAGTATAACCTTTCCTGCTAAAATTCTTCTTGGGTCTGGTAGCATTGGTATCTTGCTTGCAACATCTTAGAAACGAGGCCTTCACTTGTGCTATCTTGTGATCATAAATGATTTGCTTAAACTTACATACTTTTCATGCTTTCTATAAACCATTCTCTTTTAAAAAGGATATATTCAGTGGTGGCTTCACACTTAACCATTTCTCGTTCTAATTGTAGAGTTCTAAATTTATTTTAGTGATCAACTTTTTTAAGCAAGAGCATGCATGTGCACATGGAATGCTGGCAGCTACATGCAATGTGTGAGTCATAAAATACACTTAGCCTAGCAACGGTACAGACAGTATGCAAATAACTTGGACTTTAGAAGATGTATCTCATAATTGTAACTGCTTAAATTATAAGCCCTAAATATTCAGCACTGCTAATAAGCAAAATAAAGTTCCACTGTAGGTATTTGCTTTTAATCTTATAAAGTTAACTACAAATTCACCAAATTATTCAAAACATTTTAAACTCTAGATTTTTGTCCTTTTATAACTATTTCAAAAGTATACAATATTTTAAATATAAGCTTCATTCATTTATATACTATGTTAAGAAAAGGTAGGTGATGGAAATGTTTATTGTTTGAATACTGTCAGTACACAAGTATTCTTCTTAAGTTCTAAGTTGTTGAAACTTCAATAGACAATATAAGAGCTATCCAATCTTAAAGGAAAAAACCTGCCAGATAAAATTTTGATTTTTTTCATATATTTTTATAGTGCTCATAAACTCATTAACAGCTTGCATAACTGTTCAAAATGTAATTACTTCTATGCCTATATGATACCCTTACCACTGTTGGTGTCAAGATAGGTTCCAATTACAAGTTTTACTTACCTTTTTGTACCAGTTCATTTTCTTAAATCATGTTCACTAGATCCTATTATAATTTTTGTTTTCATCATCAGGGCTTCAGTCAGGTTAAATGACTCCATTACAATTAATTTGTTTGGATTAAGAGTATGCTGAACCTAATTTTGCTTACCCCCCTCCAAGAGAAGCCTATACCTTAACAGTGGGAATGTTATTTTGTTCAAGAAGCAAAATAACAGAATATCTACAGCAGCTTTTTTTTTTCCCTGAAAATTCTGCTAAGAAATTTCTGCATGTACCTATAGCAGTTTGCTTTAACAAAGGAAATACTGTTGGGTACTGGGTTTTTTGAACTGCTTTTCTATATATTTCTTTTAATAAATATAAACAGTTTCCAGTTAAACCTTTTCAGGATTAATAGAGAAATTAAAATTATTGTCAACTTTTTAAAAAATTTAACATCCTACAGGATCTGCTTCAGTATCATCTATAAGTTTAACCAAGGGCACTGATGAAGTGCCTGTCCCCCCTCCTGTTCCTCCACGAAGACGACCGGAATCTGCCCCGGCGGAATCTTCGCCATCTAAGGTAAAGTAGAAAATCTTGTTATCTGGAAACTGGAATCATTACAGTTACATTATAATCAATTGCTTGTGTCTAAGTTTAGTTCTCAGTGGGTTAGGTTAACACTTCAGAGTATTTGGGCTTAACATAATTTAAACAAGGATTAAATACAGACTTAACATGCAGTAAAGTTTCTTTTCTTTTGAAAATAGTTTTCTGGTATGTTTTAAAACCCTTTGTAAATCTAAAGCTGTGGGTAGTATCAAAAAACAAGTTTCTAAAGTAAGAGTAATCTCAAGGAGTTCTTTAAAACACAGAGAGGAGAGGTCTGAAGCTTTTATAAAAGCAAAAATTTAAAGTGAAATTATATCATAGCAATGCTAACTATTTCCTACATGGGCCCTTAATAGTAAATCTGATGTGTTTTTAAATGGGATTGTCGTGAAAATCCTGGATTGAATGAGGCCTTAATGGCTCATAATAGCTATTTCTTTTTCACTTGTTTAGTTTCTTCTTAATCAACTGGTAACTTGATTCAGTGGTTCCAAAGTAATCCAGAGGGCAAAATAGGTGGACAAGTTAAGACATTCCTTGCAGACTCTCATGGAAATGTTTACATAGTAAATCTAACGTTGTAACTTAACAGTTATATTAAATCAGAAACAATATATATTAAGTGATAGGTAAAATAAAAGCAAACAACAGTATTTTGAGAAATATAAAAGCATTGGGAATAACTTTTTAATCAGTTAGCACACCTTTAACTTGAAAACAACAAAGTACCCTGATCCACACTTGGGGTTCTTCTAATAGCATGTGTAAACACCCCAATTTAATATATCAATATATTATTGGTAATACATAAATTATTAATAAATCTGTGTTTCATTCTTTTTTTTTCCATTTGTGTTAGATAATGTCTAAGCATTTGGACAACCCCCCAGCAATTCCTCCTAGGCAACCCACATCAAAAGCCTATTCACCACGATATTCAATATCAGACCGGACCTCTATATCAGACCCTCCTGACAGCCCTAGCCCTCCCTTATTACCACCAAGAGAACCTGTGAGGACACCTGATGTTTTCTCAAGCTCACCACTACATCTCCAACCTCCCCCTTTGGGCAAAAAAAGTGACCATGGCAATGCCTTCTTCCCAAATAGCCCTTCCCCCTTTACACCACCTCCTCCTCAAACACCTTCTCCTCATGGCAACAGAAGGCAGCTGCCATCACCACCAGTGACACAAGAAGTGGACCTTCATCCCATTGCTGGGCCGCCTGTTCCTCCACGACAAAGCACTTCTCAACATATCCCTAAGCTCCCTCCAAAAACTTACAAAAGGGAGCACACACATCCGTCCATGCACAGAGATGGACCACCACTGTTGGAGAATGCCCATTCTTCCTGAGTTCCTCTGTACCAGGATGTACATTTCCCCAGCCCCATGTCCATTGCTGGCAATGGATGCACTGAACATGCCAGCACTGAGGAGTTGCAACAAGAACTCCAAACACTAACGACTCTACTTCAAGATACAGTGTAAGACAATGAATTTTAACCTAGACATAATTATAAAGTGGAAATAGTCTTTGTTTAGAATATGAAAGACTGATCTAGAGGAACTGGACAACTGATTGCACCTGAAAATCAAGTAAAGGGACTTTTGCAGCTGATAGGCAGGGGTCCTCTTTTTGTGAAGTGATCTTTTTTCATTAAAGGGATGGAAAACACAGTCTAGTTTCCTGCAGGCCCACATGACGACAGTTTTGTAATTCAAAATATTATGCACTTTTTAAAAAGAAATCTTAAACAGGGATCTTCACATTTTCCTTTGTTTTCCTTTGCTTTTTACTCATCCTACTTTAGAATATTTTCTTAAATCATTCAGAGGACTGTGAGGAAAGGCTGTGGTACCTGACCTTGTTGGAATCAAGGCCCAGCACTGTACTACAGTCCTGTTTACAGATTATTACAGTGAATTGAATGGGTACCGAGGCTTCACCAAAGAGGTACTTTTTTTTTTTTAATAATTATCCAATTTTAAGAGCATTTCTCCCACCCACCCACCCTCCCTACATAAACATGTGGTGTTGCCTTCAAATGAGAAGTTTTGTGTCATCAATGTGACAAAAGAACTTTATAAAAAAATGTAACCGTCAAGCATACAATTTACATTTAGAAGACTGTTAATCTATGCTAGATTGTCATTTTCCCCCCTTCTCCCACAAAAGTTTACTGGCAATCGTGTCATGGCTCATAGCTGTCCCTCTAACCATACTTTGGAAGTATAGTCATCCAGTGTAAAAAGAAGCACTTGCTGGGCATCACTGACACCATTCACGTTTTACTACTAGTTGAGTAATCAGTATATCTAGAATTACCTTGCATTGCCTAAATCATATGTATATAGTGAATGTTATATAATATACTTGGCAGGTCTGTTTTAATTTAATTGAATAAAAATACAAATACTTTGTTTGGCTGGCATATATTAAATTATTATATGGAGAAAATGGTTGATTCTTATTTCTTTCAGTTGAAACACACACACGCAAACACTAAACATAAAAGCACGTATTCTGGTACGACTTGACTTTTAGTTCTGGATGAATGTATTTGCAGTTTGGCATATAGGAAAATCTTTGGTTAGAATAGGATGGGTGCTTTTAAACAAAACTTTGTAAGTTTTTTAATTTCCTAGGTAACATGTATACAGTTTGTTAAAATTTATCTTAAGCATTCTACCTTGCTTGAGATCTTTGTGCTATCATGATTACTCATAAACCTAACCTACATCATTACTATCATAATATAAATTCTTCATTAAAGCTACATCCACATCTTCTAACAAATACTGTGACTGAAATGCATGCAATTTGTTGAAAAGGAAAAAAATTAATCTCTATTGTAATGTCTGTGGCGTGTGCAGTAGTCCATCCTGAAAGTCATCTATCCATCAAGCTCTGCATGTGTCCTCTGAATAATAAGGGGACATTTCAGCAACTCTGTTAATCTTGTAATTAGAGACATTACTAGAAGTGCGGCATCAGAGTGGAAATAGAAACCTAGTACTTTAATAATTTCCTATAATATTTATTAGAGCATTAAATGTACATCACAGTAGTACAGGATACAGTCTTATAAAACCAGAATGTTGATTGCATTATCATTACACAGTCTATCCTATCATATCCTCTCTTATTTATTAGTTAAATTTGAATTTTTGTTTATTTTTTGTACCATTCCTATTATGGTAGCCATTTTTCTCTTTGCAAAATGTCTCCTCTTTTAAGTCTCTCAAAAAATATAATTTCCGTTTACACAGTGTCCAGAAGACCATTCATTCAACAAGTATTTAAGCCCACTTACTGATGCTGCTACAATTAATCATAGTACACATTCCCAAATCTCCCATAACTTTTTTATTAGACCAGCCTCATTGTCCTGAAGATTTCCCTTTATTTGTCTTATTGGCCACTTCTTACCACTCCACTCCCACTTCTAATGAGAACCTGAAAAAAGTCACATTGGAGTCCCTCCAGATGGAGTCCATCTAGTGTTAGTTTTCAGTAGGGTAATTTCTTTTTAATCTGCCTGATATATAAAGAAAAAACTCAGATTTGGACTTCCATTCATACTTCTTGCAAAGGGATCATTCTACCCTGGTGGTTCTAGTAGACCACTTCACTGTGCATCAACTTTATATGCATTGGGGTTGGAGGATATTTTTATTAAAAGTGTGACATTTGGGTATAGATATTTTCTGCAGCGATAACTGATTAGGCAAATTCCAATTGGATACCCTCAGTGGAAATGAGAAAATTATAGCTTTGCCTTCTTCACCTGCGAAACATTAACTAGCTTCAAATTTATTCTGTAGTAACTAAAATATGTTTAATCAGGAACAAGAAGTAACTGAAAAGATAAATGCATCATCACCACTAAACTCTGTTTTGAATCCAGGACTTCACAAGACAGTCAATGCAACACATCTTCTAAACCATTCTAGAATGTGGAACATTCCTTTTTGAAATGGAAATTTTCTTTGCCATCTCAGTATTTTTGGATCACAAAATGAAAATATTTCAAAGATGAATTTACTTTAGTGGGCTATTAACTAAAATAATGGAAAAGGAGATTTTTCATATGTAAGCACTTTTAAAAACAAGAAAAGCAAGGTATGTTTCTAAATTATTGAAGGAAAGATTATTCACTCTTGCAAGTACTCCAAATGTATTTGAAGACTATGAACTTTCAGGGGTTATATAAACATTAAAAGTTGCTTAATTAAAGGTGGTTGAGTATCAGATTGTGTTTAGTGGGTTATGATCTAACAAGGATGTTCTAATGGATCTGAATTTAGCAAGGCGCATGATTACAATCAATAGGAACAATCTGGTGAGCAAGTATTTCATCAGTTGGAAGCTATTTTATGGTTCTAGAAACTTAGTGATTTTTTTTCATAAATCAAAAATTGGTGTCAATGATTATGATCTTAATTCACAAGTTCAACTTATTTTACTCATGTATTTCACCTTTTGTCTTTTAATGACAGCTTAGCTTCAGAGTTTTAAGTGGCTCAGCAAAACACATAATGTAAATGGAAGAAAGAGTGTCCCATTTTATTAATGTACATATTGAGGGAAACCATTTTTTGCTCCAGTTATACAAAGAAACAAATTTAACCATTTATTGAAAATTCTGCAGCTATGAATAGGTGCACTTATTCTTTTAACCTGTTTTGTGTAACTGTTGTACAAGAGTAGATCCTGTTGTGTTGCACATTAATCTTTACCAGTAAAAGAAACATGAAGTTAATATTGGTTTGGCTGAAAAAGAAATTTTTGTACGAGAAAGTGATATATTCAGCATTTTTCTTTTGAAACGTCTCATTTCCTAATCCCTTATACACAAACCAATGAAATATTTTGAGCTCTAGTTAAGAAGCATGAAGTGTGATAAATCTAAACAAAGCACTTGAAACTTGTTTTGTAAATTTCATGCCTTATTTTCCATTTTTGACACCGTAAAGTGCATTTTCTGTCAGCTGTGAGCAAACTTCCCTTTTGCCTTTAATGAAAATAGTGCATTAAGTAGCCAACTGCTGCAAAATTATAAGCAAGTTAGCAAAGGTGGATCACATCGGGCTACCACTCAGAGCAACAAGCTGCGTAACAGGTGGACGTCGCAGCAGTGTGGCGTTAGGGAGAGTGCGCCTGTGCCAGATGCATGCCACTTTCAGTAGCTGCCAAATGTGCCTTTAATTAAGAACATCTCTAATTTTTTTCTTCAGATCAAGTCAGCATTTGGGGGTGGGATCAGGGCAGGGGACTATGGGGTGCAAATATCTGGTGATATCCACCAGAAAAAAAGCCTTTGTCAAAGTGACATGTATAACTTTAGTGAAGTGTGTTTGTGTGTGTATATATACGTGTGTGTGTGTGTGTGTGTGTGTGTATTTGCCTTTGTTCAGTGGCACGGTTACTTGCTACAATAATTGTAAAAAAAATTGCGCTGTCAGTCTTTGATGTAAAAAGCAAAGTGCGGTCTATAAATCTAAATATGGACTTTGTACCTAAATATGTGCTTAGGTTACCTTTGTACTCTGTGTGCAGCAGTATTTGGTTTGCATTTAAGGTGAAAATAATTGCTGTTATTTTTCTGGCATTACTAAGATCAACTGAAAAATAATAAAGAAAAATGCCTTATGTAGCCCACAAGTGTATTATTTTTGAATATTTATTTGAAAGGGCAATGTTCTTTAATGTCTTAAGTAATCCCCACTTTAGCTCATTCTTTCCATATTCAAAAAATTTTGTTCTTTACCATGGTCTTGTCTGGGAGGCACTTTTTCCTATATCAGGTTACTATAATAAATTCAGTATTTTGTTATCAAGCCATAGGTTTGTATTCGAATAGGATACCCTAGGGACAAAAATCAGTACTCTAGTGACCTTTACCTGGGTGAAGTTTCAGAGGACTGGGTCATTTGTATTCCATAAAAACAATTGAAATTTTAAGATAATTCCTTTACAAGCTAGGATCTGGGATATCAATGTAACAACTGTAGGAAAGTACATTATATCAAACAGATTCTGAGTCTGTTCTTAAAATGCCACTTCTTTTAATTAACCTGGTAGTTTGCTTTTTCTCTTGTTTTAACCATATGATACCATCATAGTTGGGGCCACTTAAGTCTTTATGCTCCAGCCCACAGCTGAGCCTGACTCTCTACAGAGCCTAACTCCATAAACAAAAAAGGCTTTTAATAGTTAAGACTAAAACAAACAAAAGGCATTTATGACCACTCTAAAAGCTCAGGATTCTTGATTCTCAGGGAGGCAAAAAAAAGAACTTCAGCTCTCTTTTAGAAGGTAGTTTCTCTACTTTATGATTCACCAAGTAAAGGGAGAATCAGTGGAAGAGTATGAAAAGCAGGAGCTTGGGAATCAGACATCTCTGTATTCTAGCCCCATCACTAGATGTGTAAATTTGAAGAATGAATTTCAGTAATCCAAGTCTGTTCCTATGAAAATATCCATTTGCAACTTGTGAGGTTTGACGGTAACAAGTATAATGCACAAGGCCTTCACAGAGGAGATGCTTAGTAAATGAGATGTTAAAAATTATGAGGGCTGTTTTTAAGTTTGCCTCCTTTTAGATGCCTTTTTTAAGAGACAGGTGGTTCTTGCTGAAGTCCTCATAATTTGATTCTTTACTATATAACTTTCTTTGATCTTTTTGTCACTTATGTTGATTTCAGTGACCTTATTTATAAGCATTTGATAAGGACTCATCTGACTATTCAGCATTCAAATGTTTATTTTTCCAGGTACAGTTTTAGTGTTAGATATACAGTAGTGAACAAACAGATAAAAATTCCCTGTCAGCATGGGATTAATCCAGTGAAGATATGTAGACAAGTAATAAGAATAAATAGACATATATTAGAATATTAAAACTGCTATAACCAAAAAGCCCTGGGAATGTAGGCAACAGGAGTTGAAATTTAAATGAGTCAGCCTCATGGAGCAATGACATGGGTTGAAACTTGGAGGTGATGAAATGAGATGTGCAAAAACATCTAGGAAAAGAATGCCCGTGTCACAGGGAACTCACAATTCAAAAACCCGGAAGCAGAAGCATACTTAGAATATCCAATGGACAACAAGGCTACTTGTATCTGGAAGGGGATGAGTATGAGTAAACTGGAAGACACATCAGAGGTTTAGTGGAATCCAGGTCACTTTTAATGACTGGCTTCTGTGGAAGAGATAGAGGCCTTAGAGGGCTTGAGCATGGGAGTAGTAGCACACTATGATTTACATTTTAATAAGATGCTCTGGCTGCTGTGTAAAAAATAATGAAGGGCTAAATGTGAAAATAAAGGCACTAGCCCAATAGACTAGGGTGTTAGTAGTGGAGGTGGTGAGAGGTGGGAGTTTAGATATGTTGGGAGATAGTCAAATTGCTGACAGAATGTAAGGGATAAAAAACAACTGTCAAGAATGACCAAGGATGGTTTTAGGCCTGAGCAACAAAAAGGACAAAGTTACCTTAATTGAGATGGGGAGAATATGGTTAATAGAGGCTTGAACATGTTAAATTTAATAAATATTTAAGATATCTGAGTGAGGCCATGGAGGCAGCTGGAGGTGTAAGTCTGGAATTTGAGAGTGAGGTCTAGGCTGAAGATAGAAAGTGGGAGTCACTTGTATAAAGATCACATTTTAAAGCCAGAAGTTTGGATAAGATCACCAAAAAGTAAATGCAGTTTGAGGAAAGGAGACATTAAACAAAGGACAGCCTTGGGGCATCTCACATTAGAGAGGGAGGAGAACAGAAGAACCAGCCAATAGATTAAGGAATCTGAAGAACGATGAAAACCAGCTGTGTATTGTGCCCTTGAGCCCCAGTAAAGATTATTGCAGAAGAGGGAATTCAGAAACTACCTCAGCATGCCAAATGCTATTTGATAGGGAGAGTAAGACAACTAAGAATGGACCATTCATTCAGCAAGGTGGAAGCCACTCACCTTGACATAAGCAGTTCAAGGAGTGGTGTGGGCAAAAAACCTGGACCTACTGAGTTTAAAAAGAACAGGAGAATAGTTGGAGCCATTTCCTCTTTAAAGTTTTATTATTTAGGGGGTTTCTTTTGCTTAAAAAATGGGAGAAATAAGAACACGTTTGCTGAAGGGTTCCTAGCGGAGAAGGATACAATCTGAGGCTAAGCAGAAATCGCCCACTCAGAACAGCTAGTATCCAGTCCTTTACAGTGGCATTCCACTATCTTCGTATGAGCAGGGTTATGTATATGAGGGGAAACAGCCCCATTTTCTTGTTAGGAATTGAGAGTAATGCTATTATCTGTGAAGCAAGAAGGAATAAAATACTTTTATAGATAAACAAGACTTTAGATGACAATTAAAGATTATATACTAAGCTGCTGACAAACAAATTATTTAATTTGGGTATAAAAGTCTTGACCATTTTGAATGACAAATTTCCAAAAAGAGTAGTTTCAGTATTGCCTAAATCATATCTTCACATTACAATGTTGAAAACTTAGATCTAGTGTCACACAATTTCTGGTTTTTTCCTTTAAAATACACAGATCTTTATCAATTTTTTCAACCTTTTAAAAGCCTGTTTCTGTTTTTCAAAATTTTTTCTGACCATTCCCTTTCCCTCGACTCCTTCCCACCCTGTGAAGTTTCATTGTAGACCATAAATGTTAGGATGCTTACATGTTGGGAATGTCACACTCACACTTATAAGTAGGTGCTTGGTATGTGAAAATCACAAGTGACCCAGGCTAACTTGACCAAGGTATTATAATAGACAGGAATCATGCGTATATTCATATGTATATTTCTAACCAGACTCCTACTGGATAGAATAGTAAAAGGACTCAGATGTAAATTTAGAATTCAAAGAGTAAGTTTTAATGAACTGTATTTTCTGTATCTCAAAGTAAGTATAATCCCTTAGTCTATATGAAAATTCAACCTATGGGTAGAATTGAGTGCTAAGGTTTAAATCACTCAATTTATTGCTCTAAGAGGCTAGCAGCTCTATAATTTAAGTGGGCCAAAGAATCCCCTGAGCATACTTAAAGTGCAGACTCCTAGAGCCCACTCCCAAATATTCCAATTCAGTGGGACTAAAAATAGCAATGGTACTCAGGAATCTGCATTTTCATGTGCCCTCATGGAGAGAGTAGCAATATACTTGAAGAAGATAAGGAAATGAGACATGAGGTGCTTTAAAAACAACTATTCAAAGGGTTTTCCCCTAAATAAGCAAGAAAGATTTTAATTTCAAGTCCAAAACTAGTTTAGGCTATTCGTCCTATGACAAAATAACTCATTACAGAAAACCCAAAATTGTTGGCTCACAAATTCCAGTTCTGCAATGTTTCAGTCAGAAACACAAAACAATCTTTGCTTTTGCTTGGATGCTGCAAGACTGCAGAAGGGACTTTCTGCCAACTCCACCTATGTAAAAATATCTGCTGCATCTTTGTAGAGTTCTTTCTACTTATCAAGCCAAACACTTCCAGAAGACAGCTGAGGTCTCCTATGAACAAACTGGATTCCTCCAGAGACCTGGAAATCACAGATGCAGAAATGCCAAACTCTTCCTCATCCTGACTTCATCCCTTAATGCAACATCACATTAAATGTCATCAAAGATCCTAAAGCTCCTGTCAGTTTATAGTGCTACTAGAAAGATAATTTTCACAAGATTTAAAAATGGACACAGAAAAGTAACAAGCCTTTTTTTTTTAATGGAGAGATGTTCTCTAATCCGAGATGCTGTCAAAGTGACTTTAACTGCTTCTTAAAGACAGCTACTTTCACATATTTTTCTTCAAAAAATGAAAAACAGGGAACCAAAGTAACAACCCCAAAGCTCTTTATCCATTTAAGAATAGAAATTATGTTTGTAACCCTCTGCATGTTAGAGCACCACTAGTAACGTTGGTGTCAACTTTCACCTTGGAATAACAAGAAGATATTCCATAATTCCTGCCCTTGAAGGAAGACAAGAAAAATACAACAAAAATAGACAAGTTACAACACAAGACATCATAGAAAGATGGGATAAACGGGTCTTAAAGAATAATAGCGGGAAACTAGAGAATAGGCACAAAGAGCCTGAGGACGGTGCCAGAAAATAATAAAAGCCCACACTACCTAGCTGAAGTTGTTCATCCACCATTACTGCAAAGCGGGAGATGGTCGCCAGACAGAAACCTTGGAGCCATATGAGTGGGGAGTTGGGGACACAAAGTCTAGGAGTTCAAATCTGTATGAAAATAATAATGAGTTTCCCACAAAATAGTATTTGAGAATATTAATGTGTTAGAGAAATATAAGACTGATGGCAACAGTAACTTGGAAGCAATTAGAAAGTACTAGAAAAATCCAGATACCAGGTGATGGAAACCTAGAGAATAGCATTAAGATACTTAAAAGGATGCTATCAAAAAGATTTTGGGTGACATTTCTTAAACCAACCCCCTAATTGCTCTTTATAATAAAGCAATTTCAAGGGAAAAAAATTTTTTTTCAAGTTTTATTTAAGAGGCTGTGTCTTCTATATCCAGTTAGTTTGACATTGCACTTTTAAGCACTGCCTCCAAACTCCTTTGGCCCGAGAAAAAAATCTAATTTAAAAGGAGTTAATTTCAGAAAAATGAAAAGCTTGGCTTAAACTGAAATATTGGAAATTCCAAAATCTTAGCAGTGATGCTTTGAGCGTTCCAAACACCTATTGTTCAAAATGCTAATGGCTAAGTTTCTCATTTTTTAGAAACTGTAATATGTAAGTGTAAAATTCCCCTTTTATCAAACAGTGCATTCAGAGGCACAGCCTCTGGTGAAGCCAGTTAGAGTAGCAAGGTTTTGAATAACAGTAATAAACTTCCCCAGACTTACTGTAGATAACATGTTCGCTGTGGCAGCACATATACTAAAGTATTAGAGATCACTGCCTGGAGACAGAGGCAAACTGTTGACACCTATTTTTTTCTATTCTGATGTCCTATTATGGTATCTGATGTTTGGGGCATGTTATGTGTGCAGACCTGGGACAGAGTATGTGGAGATAGAGCACAGTTTATTACCAAAATAACCAGGCAAGCCTCACTGCAATTGTCCCTCTGAGTTGTAAGGATTTTGTTTCTTTAACTTCTTTCAGGAACCAGAACCAGCTACTGCCGACCCTAGGTTTTCATTCTGACTTGGTACTGACAGCAACTGCACATTGTTGCTGCTGCCACCTGTCTTCAGACTGAAGCAAGTGGCTACCTCCGCGCTTGCCCCCCACCCCCAGATATCTGATCATAAGTATATGTGACACTCAGCAACACTAGAAAGCCTTTGTCTCCTCAGGGTTCAATTTGACACTAAACTGTTCCCACCTGCAGCACAATCCACACAAGAGAAAATACTTCTTTGGTCTTCAGTTTCCAGAGAAATCATTGTTCCCTATACTGATTTTGGTAACTACTGAACAAGAGAAATGCTACTTTTAATGCTCTCTTCCTATTTGGAGACTCAAGTACCTTTAAGTTTTGAAACTTCGTATCACAGTTTAAGCACAAGTCGTCCACATATAAAATGTAATTCTGTTAATTGATCCTTCGTCTTAAGAGATGTTAAGTTTTGCCTTAGGATTGCTGAAAGATAGAGTAAGGCCTGCTCCCTAACATGGTACACACACACACACACACATATATATATATGTTAGTTTAGGAACAATGGGGTGAATTAATAAGCTAAATACCTAAGAAGCATAAAACTCACATTCACGATAAATATGAACATGCTGAATATTATACTGGGGGGAAATGATTTCAAGTGGGAGATTCTGTTCTTACATTTATTTTCCTCCAAATTTACTGTTTTTCTCTAATACTGTGAAAAATCTTCATTTCCTTTTTCCCAAATGTTAAGGTTCAAGAAGCTAGCTCTCAACCACCAGCTAAGCTCTCTCTCTTTCTCCAATGTCTTGGATATTGATTTAGTTCATATGTAACTATATTAGTTTTCCTCGGGGATTTATACATCTATCTATATATATATATATATATATGGATATATATATATATACCTACACAGATATATACAAGCTTTTTATTCCTCATCTTACCACTTGATAATACAACTTTAAGTATTTTTACACAGCTGTTCCTTGGTCAAGGTCATTTGCAAGAGCAAGTCGGTTTCTGAAGAAATCTTGTTTGGTGGGTGAAGGATCCATTGAGGGATTCTCATTAGTTTTTTCCCTGTATTCTGATCCACTGGACCTAAAATCTCAGCACACAGATAAAGTACAGGTTGATTTGGTTTTAATTGTTCTCAAATATTTTATCTATCCAAATCTGTCTGCATTTGTTAAAACAGTGGCCTCCTACATATGGAATAATTTTTACTTCCCCTGAATTTCATGATGCAGGACATGTGTATCTCAGATTTGTGGTGAACATAAAGAAAATCTTTCCAATACTTTCTGGGGACAACTGTGGTAACTGTGTATGTCAGTGTAAGATATTGTGTACACCACTGTAACTTCCTAAGAAATCCTGTTTTTGATTCAACCAAGTAACTATTCCATAAATTACCAGGGCCCTTAAATTAAAATGGATGGAATTAATTGTTCTCAACCAAGATTATCATGGGCCTTTATCGGATTTGGGCATTACATTACAAACTCTTGCTTTTACTTATTTTCATTTTTAAATGAAAGATTTATTGAAGCCAACCACACATATATACTACATTTGGTAGAATGCAGAAATGAATACAGTAAACAGATTGAGAAGAGTCTATAATCTCAACCATCACAAAGGAGATCAAGCCAAATCAATAGTCAACAACTCAAATCAGTCCAATGAGTCCCCAGTCGAGGGTACATTCTTCCTTTATCTTGGTTTTACCAGCTGGGTAATCCATTCCAGCTCTGCACCTTCTGTTTGTTCATGTCAGAAGTCCCTGGAGGGAGGAGGCTTTCTGGAAATAATCTCTGACACACTAGGCTGGGGCCTTTGGACAGCTTAAACTCTGAGCCACCATGGGTACAACTAGCCCCGTGATTAAGAACCAGAATCTGAAGACCTCGTGCAGACATATGAAACTGATGTTAGACTTGAAGTTCTGTGTCTAAAGCTCCTATACAACTGACCAAATTGCCTATATGTGGAGGCAGTCAGGCATGCGACCCCATCCACAAAAGGAGGCTGGGTTCTTTCACTATTACTGGTCTGCTATGAGTCTTCGCTGTAGTCAGTTAATCATGATTATCATTCACTGAACTAATTGGGCAGAATTCAAACATCTCTTGATATTATTCAAGCAAAGAAGCTGGATCCACACAAAGACTAAAATCTGGACATCTGAAAACTTGGTAACTGACTAGAAATTTTTACTTTTCGCATGTATACTTAACATCAGAGATGAAGTAATAGCTACCCACCATGCTTTCTATTTCTGATCAGTAAGAAGCACTTTTCTACTATATCCCAGCACACAGAGGAAAAACTATTCTCTCTCTCAATCCCAGTACATCAGAGTACTCATCAAGAAAGAGGATATCTGGGTAGGGTGAAAATCCTCTTACTTTCCAGAAACTTTCCTTGGCCTCTCTTTTGAAACAGCTTCAACATGCCCCGTTCTGAAACTCTTGCAGTTCTCTCAGTTCTCAGGAGTCTTTGGTACCTCAAGTTTGAATTATCCCTAATTAGTACAGTTGTGCCCCACAAATAGGAAGTTAAATGTCTGACCATTTCATTCTTTCCCCATATTTCATTATCCAGAAGACTGGGATTGTCTACAGCTCAGAAGACAAAACTTAGTAAGCAGGATTTGAACCTAGCTACTATTTCTTGCCAATTGTTCCCCTAGATGGAAAATATCTAATCAAAAACTCACTAGTGAAAACTTAAAATTTTTACCTACATTTCCCCTCTTAGCTACATCTGATCTCTCCAAAACCCAACATGTTATACTTAGATGGTTCCAACATGCAACTGTTTAGTGTTTACCTGGAAATGGGAAAGCTTTGATGTCACCACCAGCCCCAAGGACCACAGAAATCTTCACCAGCTGCGTTCCCATTTCTGAAACAAATGCCAAAATCGCCCTGTCTAGTTTTCAAAGTCCAAAAACTCAACTTAGTTTTTTTTTTAAGCTGCTCTTCTCACAAACCACCTTCTCTGTGTCTCCAAGTGTGTGGATTTCTCTGTATTTCTTGATATAAAATATTAACTAACCGATGACTAATTTGCTAATCCCTTTCAAAATCCAGTCTTCTACTACAGCCATGACTAAAAGCACATTTATATCCTTTAAAGAATAATTTTAAATGACCACCTGGATTCTTCCGAAGTGTGGCTGTTAGACTATGAAGTAATGTATACCTAAGTTGCTGGGAAATAACCTAAGAATCTAGGAAAAATGGTCAGCGAATTTGATTTTATTCTATTTCTATATTAAACAAAAATGGCTTGTGAGGTCCTGAGGCCATTTTGGTTGATGGCAGGACAAATCTAAGTAGACACTAAAGGGACATGCTGGTAAAAACGTCCTTCAGGGGATGTATAATGGCTGCCAGTAAATTCTGACACACAGCCACCCAAATGTTTGCTGGAAATACAACAGACCTGTTGCTAACTGTGTCTACTCAATTAACAGAAACAAAGAAAATAGCAAGCCCTACAAGTACAGATTGTGATAAACATGCCTTGAAACTAGGTTAGAGCTGACGGAGGGAGGAGGGGAGAAAACCGGTGCAGTGCCACAGAACGCTATGCCCTAAGTAGGTTGGTTTCCTGAGTAGAAAGACTGTCCCTGTCTAAAGCTCTAGGAAACATGCACACAGAGAAGAGGGCAGGTCAGTACCCAGCCTGCTGGCCAGATGAGTCAGCCTGGTAATAACAGGGTGACAAATGAGCATTCACTTAAAAAATCTTCACTGAGTGTTTACTATGTGGCCAGGACTGTACTTGCAGCCTTGCAGCCAGTTACCCTGATGTTTGGGCTCTACACTGCTAACAAGAAGGAACTTTACCTTTTACTCCTAGTACACTGAAGACAGTGACTGATTTCAAGTCACCTGTTGAGAAACATTTCTAATCAGGTTTAAATTATCCAAAATGTTACCCCTCCAATAATGTCCTTAAAGTCTGAGGTTCAATAGGAAAATTAAATGGGAAATGAGAGAGAATCCCAAAGTGGATAAGGATAGGGTAAGTACTAGAGCTAGGCTTTAAAGGAGGTAAAAAAGAAAGCAAGAGTAAAATTATCAACTGATTGCTTGGTAGTCCTGCTTACAGGAGGTCTGTTCCACAGCCAAGCCTGGGCATATTCAAAAACAGTTGATAATACACCAAAAGGTTCACTTTCAATTATAAGGGACCCTACAGAAGCCCTTTGTGTATATTATTAAGAAAACAGGGATTTTAATGTGACTGGTGGAAGGAGGGTGATGACCAAGAAGAAGACACTGCGAGGCATATAAATTATAAAGAAAAAAAGAAAAAAAAAAGGAAGACAGTAGGTGAGGAAATAGGGTTCACGATTTAGAAGTCAGAAGCTTTATCTTTCACTTCTTCCAAATTTGAGAATAAAAAGAGAACACACCATTCCCTATCACTGGCTTGTCTTACTTAATCCTCTTCACTCATGCCACTCCCCCAACCAAGAATACTTGTTAACCTAGTACAAGATTTATATGAAAAGATGACATAGTGGTATTTGACTTGGGCTTTAGGACAGTCTAGATGTAAGTCTTTGACCAGCTCTACACAGGTCCTTCTAGAATGGGGTACTTGGTGTTCCATCCTGCTCAAAGGCAGGGGGATAAGGACTCAGTCCAGCATCACATTCCTGATTTCTAAGAATTCTTACTTAAAAAATTTTAAGACACTTAACATTTTCAAACTTGAAGATATTTAGTCTTTTTTCTGATCAATTCTGGGCAACTTGCAGGGACATGGACCTGGCATTTATCCAGGACAGATGTGCCTGAGATAGAAACAGAGCATCACCCTTTCCCCCAAATAGCTTGGGGATTTTTTTTTTTTTTACTTCAACTTGACTTTCCCTTTTGAATCCTGTGGATATGCACATCCGGCCCTCCCAGCCTCAGAGGGAAGAGAACCCTTTCTCAGGTTTTCTGTTGCATCTGGCTCCATGCCTAGCTTCATCCCGAAGCAGCATTCTGGGTGTGTGGGGCCACCAGCCAAACAAGCCCCTATGGATACAAAAAGTGTGTCAGTGTAGACAGGAACGAGCCTCCAGAGGGTTATGGGGGAGGCACACAGTGAGCCCCAGATGTGACACTGGCAGCTTTTTCTGGGTTTGGTCCATCTTGAACCTCTGAGGTTAGGTTCTGGCGTGGTTTCAGTACCTGGTATTAGCTACTTCTTCATCACAGGGCTTGCTGCCAGCCTGACCTCCCAACTCTTTTCAGTTTCTCTCTGAATCTGTCCACAGGCCTGACCTCGATGCAAACTCCTACATAACAGATGAGACTTTGTCATTCACCAGTCTATACAGTCTAGTGTCTCATACAGCAAATGCATCTAAGAAAGAATGCTTACTGAATGATAAGAATGGTGTATTCTGACTGGACTAAAAGCCAGACTTTCTGAGCTACACTGGAGCCTCTCTGCCTTCCTTACTACCTTAACATAAATGGAACATACTTTCCATGGTCGTTGGATGAAAATACTCAAGAAAGTTTACTCAAGCTGCTTCTTTATTCCAGACCAAGTCCCCAAAAAGATACTGTGGCACCCTCAATTGGTGAAAAGCAAGTGTCACTTGGTGGTGCTCACAGATCTACAGCAAATCTAAAAACTCAGAAAGCGTGCCAGAGGAAGGAGCCATCTGCATGGCACCCCTTAACTTTCATCATCTAAAGCTTCAGAAACTAAATACAGTGCCAGGATGGCTGGCAGCAATGTGACTGATGCAGGAGGACTAATCAATGAGAAGGATAAAAGATCAGGGGGATCCATTTGACCTCCTACGAAAGATTCCCAAACTGCAAGAAAACTGAAGGCAATTAAGCAACATGAATTTGAAGAGTCCACAGCAAATCCTCAGCACTGTACCAAGGGGGTTACGGAACGATAAAACCTGAGGCCACCTTACTTTCTTGTTTTATTGTTTAAAAACATGTGATTACTTAGACTGATCTACAACCAAATCAAACTACATGTAAAGCAAATCTTAGCGCTGAAAAGGACTCAGGTGAGCATCCTGAGCAATCTCTCACCACAGCAGGAATCACTTCCACAGCCCTCTTGATCCAGGTCATCTAGCTTCTGCTTAAAAGAGCTCAGCCTCTCCTGAGGCAGCCACTCCAGCTCGAGGTTAGCTGCGTTTTCAGGAAGTTCTGTCTCCTACCAGTTGCTTCCAGTTTTGCCCCCTGGATATAGGGAGGACAAGGCCACTCCCTTTACCGAGGTAACTAGCAGAGCATTTTCTTACATCTCTAAAAATCTAGAACTTAATGGAACCAGTGGTAGCCCTGTGGCTCATCACTTTCTAGTAGACAGTAACCATCATTACAAATGGCAGTGGGCAAAAAGAAGCTGTTTTGGGGAATAGAGTGGTTAAAAAAAAAAAAGGCTGGGGAATCATACAGTGCCTTAAGAAATGTGGAGCCCTTAGAAAGATTTAGGAGCCTAAAGCCCAAGGTCAGTTTGGAAAATTGTCTGCTTCCAGGTCTCTCCATCCCTGCCAAACTTGACAGAGGTAGGCATTGGGCCAGAAAAGATTTAAGTGTATGATCCTAGAGAGAGGGATGCAACCATTAATTCCTGACCTTCAAATAAAGGGAATGTGGCAATAGTCTTTCATGCACGGGGTTATCTTAGCAAAACTGAACCGGACTTGGTGCAGTAGGGCTGTGTCTAACTGTAGTAGTGCTGTTCTTCCTTCCTCTTCCTCCTTCTTCCAGTACCAACAGGTGGGAAGCAACAATAGAGGCTCATTAATATCAGTACCACTCACTCCATGAGAAAAGTTTAAACTGTCAAAAAAAAAATCGTCACTCAGGCCTGCCTCCAACTCTGCCATCAAGGCCATTTTCCAAATCAGGCAGTAATTTCTGACCACAAAAAGAAAGTGACTTCCCTGAGGTTCCTCATGGATCAGAAACTCTCCAAAGGCAGCAGTAATGCCTTTGCTTAACTTTTACTCCCACCTAAAAGGAGAAGCTGTTTCTTGACTCCAAGAATGTGCTCTACCAAGACAAATTAAGTTTCCCTCTCTAAGGAAAGGGATGGAGGCCTGAGGATTTACAGAAAAAGAGGCCTGAGGATTTACAGACAATAGGAGAATCCCTTTATGTAGTCCGCTCTTTTCCTTAAATTTCATGTTGGGGTTTGGTCACTGTCTCCTACTGTATAAGGAAAAGTGCTGACCAGATTGCTAAGGGTAGGGGGAGGGGAGTGGTGAATCCACGTAAGACAACAGAGATTAGTGTCTTAGTATCTACATAGAAAATACCTAGTTTTCACCTTCTATGATGTGGGAATTTCATTAAAGTGATTTTTAACTAGGGCCAAGTAAAATTCATTCCATTATTCTGCCGGGGGAAAATGCTAGCAAAAGTCCCAAAAAACTAGCATCCACAATAATCACAGGACTCTAGAAGCCAAGGTGCTGAGATGCCCTTAGAAAGCTTTCCACAGTTGGGGAGACTGGAGGGAGCACTCATACACCCAGCTCCAACAGTGTTTCCCGCTTCTCCAGGTCTAAAAAGGGATTTAACTGTTACCAATTCATCTCCCAGGGTACCTCCTCGCAGGGCACATTACTTTGGGAGCAAAGAAGGCTAAAGATAGATGAGGCAGAGGACAGGGCTGAGTTTGCTTTTCCTCTAGCTTACAAGGAAAAACACCTTCACCTGCAAGGAATTGTGGCTACTGGGAGCAGGCACTGGACTTGAAGCAGTTGTATGAAACCAGGCTGGTTGATACTTATCACTGTTCAAACCTCAAGACTCAGCCTAAAGGGAAATGAGTTAGTGCTGTCTTGTCTAGGGGCTACTCACTTCTTTTTAAAGAGCTTGCGGAAGGAGCTGCGAAAGCCCCCTTTCTGGTCTTGCCTGGGGTTTTGATCGCTGAAAGATGTTTGTTCACTTTCTCTTTCTTCCTTTGGACAGAATCTGGTGGTGTCTTCTAAATGCATCTCCTGAAAACACAAAAAAGGGTGTTTTTTGTTTTTTTTTTTTTAACTCTTTTCCAAAGTTAGTATCTGTCCTGGCTATGGGATGATTTTTAACTTTTTGCACTTTTCTCTTCCACCCCAAAAGATTAATGTGGGCACTCTACTCCAAGTAAAGCAATCCTAGACTAATTAAGAAATCGGTAGTTGGGAAGGATAATTTTCTGCCAAATGTATTTTTCATGTGTCAAGGCAAGTAGCCCAGTAAGATAATGATAATTAAAGATCAGGAAATAAAGGAAGTTAGAGCAGTTTTAAAGAGTACAGCGATTAATTCCTCATTCTGGCACCAATTGCTGTCTTGCCAGAAAACCAGAAGTACTCCCTTCTATATCCGTTTATGTTTCTCTTTATATAAAATAAGCAAGCTCCTTGAAAATGATTTAAACTCAACAGTCTTACCCTCTATTTTAGATATAAGTGAGGGAAGGCATTTTTCAGAGGTCAGATCTATTTAATAGTAAATGTCAACTAGTATTTCCAACCTGTAAATATGTCTTTAACACAGTTTTTGTAATTCTTAATCCATGGTATTTGGGGTATAAAGGAAAACAATAATACGGCTCTATCTCTTGTGAACTTCATAGTTTCTGTTTAAATGTGAGATATGCTAAATAAAATAGATATTGAAAATTAGATGTTATGTGTACATATTTATCTTAAGGTGACTAAAACTTAAAAGAAATAAAAAACAACTGCTTGATTTTGAATAACTTTAAGAGACCCCAAGAAGCCAAAGTAAAAACCACCCCATTAATGCCCTGAAAGTTTCATGAATGAATGGGTGACTGCTTGCGGATAGAGAAATACAGTGGGACAGGGGACAGCTTGCGTTTTGTTTGTTTTTGTTTTTTCAGGAAATAAGTGGTCTTGACTTTGAGACATTAAGTTGGCATTGTAGTAGCAGATCTAGAGATTCTCTGAGATTCTAAGATTCATAATTAAACCATGGAGATCAACATCTTAATGGTTTAGTATGATGTTTCTCATGGTGTGGTCCTGGGCTATGGGATCTCATCTGGGGCTTCTATTTAAAATGTAGATTCCTGAGCCCCAATGCAGACTTTCTGAATCAGAATCTCTGGAACTAGGCATAGATAATCCTATGGACACTTAGATTCTAAAAACCAGCATTAGTGTTTTAAGGTATGTCTTTTCCCTCTTGGCACTTAATGTATATTTGAATCACATGGGAACTTTTTAAAATGCAGATTCAACAAGTCTAGAAAGGGATTGAAATTCTGCATTTATCACAGGTTTCCTGATTTATAGTCATCCAACGACTACATTTTGAGAAGTGGACTTTTAGGGATTATTTCGGAATTAAATGTATTAATAACTTAAGATTTTTAGGACTTAACTGAGGAATGACATATATTAATAGTTGCAAAGAAATCTTTGGAATGATGATCTTTATAAGTCTTTGCATTTCTGTAACATTCCATACTTTCCAATGCATATTCACAAATTTTTGCTTATTTGACCTTATCCTCACAACAACCCTGTGAGGTAGGTAAGGTATATATTGTCTTAGTTTTACAGATGAGAAAACTGGAAACAGAAGCTAAGGGCACTGCCCAAAAACATGTGGCTATTTGGCAACAGAGTCAGGACTAGAATCCAGATCTCCTGACACCCATCAGGTGCTCTGGGCACTAAATAATACTGTTTTCTTTCTTGACTCTTAGAGACAGAACAGGACTTAGGCGTTGGCTGATTCTGCTCATCAGGGGTAGAGGATGCAGAGAGTATATTTCAGGAGATGGAACGGTAAGAACTTGGCACATCTCGGCGTGAAAAAAGCTGATGACTTTAAGCACAGGGCTGTTGAAGGGTTGATCTTTCATGACTAAAACCTCTACCCTGCACTTACCTCACACACATAAAAGCACAAGCACATACATATATATACACAAACATGCACATATTACACACAGCCTCTGCATGCCACCTCTCTAAGGCTCCCCAAAATGCATACCTTCTGAGGTTTCAGAAAGAAACATTTTGTCCCAAAACAGAAATAAGCAAAGTGAACTTTGTGTGTTTGCAAAGTTTACTGATAACTGAAAGAAAAAAAGGCCTCCTTTTAACTGACCTCTGTCAGACACCTCAATACATTTCTTTCTGAAGTGGCCTAACTGCTATTTATGCTGTCAAGGGAGGAAACTTGCTGGCCAGTGTATCTGATTAACAATGCCTAATATACAGCTTGTTACTTGGCATGTCTGATAGTCACAAATACATTATACATAGTTAACTTCTCAGATATTATTTCTGATAAAATGGTTTTCACCTGGCAACTATCGAATTCCCAACTTTCTACATCCTATCAACAAGAAAAGGACATTTTTGCAAAAATATGAATGCTCATGTGTTTACTGTCACTTAAATTATGCTAGTTAGGTTCTATATGTAAATCCCTGCCCAGTCCACTCTGAATCACAGTTACTTCTTTCTATTTCCCTTGTTAATGAATTCTGAAATTTTGTTAATGAATTCTGAAAATGTAAAAGCGATCTGTCCAAAAATTTTCGTCGAGTAGAATTTCCTAAAGTTCAGAATTCAAACTCAGAGACAGAGGGAAATCTGAGAACCTGGGGCACCTCAGAATCCCTAGCTGAGCACACAGCAGTGTCTGAATCTCTGCGGGGTTCAGACACAGACTATATTCCTGGAGCCCAGGTGGGCCACAAACCCCACAGTTCTTCATTACCCAACTCCTTCCTGGGTGAGGAAGGAGTTGCCTAACGTCTCCTATTCTGGCTAGCATAGCACAGCACAGAAGCATGGTCCCGGTTATGTTTAAACAGCCCATCAACCTTTTTGTATGTCTTCCTGTCCAACTCTTCACCTAGCCAACGTCTAGGTAGGCAGCTTTTACAATCAAATCCAGACAGACAAATTATCATTTGATTTTAAAAGCTCGGCCCAACATCCCTCTCCTGGGGTCCAAGATGTGTTATAATTCCGTGTTTCCCTGTGTCTTTCCTGAACTAGAGCAAAGACTGAGTGCCATTTATTTCTGAACCCTCAGCACTAGTACAGAGGGCAAAGTAGTCGTTCAGTATTCACTAAAAAGTGAATGAAAGGAGTCAGGGACACCTCATCGGTCGCTACTCACTTGAAAATGGAACTAAGTCCCTGTTCCTAGGAAGCCTCTTCTAACCTAGGCTAAGGATCCCCAGAATGTGATGCAAGTCATACTCGGTGCAGGTGAAGTCAGTTCCGGACAATGTCGTTTTCAAGATGTACCAACACTGACCACACTTTTGAAATGATGTTCAATAGGCAGGACTGCAGCGCGGTCAAAGCTACGCCGTTCCTCCGTGTAATCAGAAAAGCGCCCTTGTTCCGATCACAGCAGAGCAATTAGGCATTGCTCGGGGACTGCTACGAGCCCTTTCACGGACTGGAACAAAGGGAACACGTCTCTATAGGTCCCAGGCTTGCAAACACCAAGGTGGGACCTCAAAATACCGAGCAATGACAGAGGTCAAAGAAGGCGTTACGGGTCAATGCTTTCATGACTATTTCGGGATGTCCTTAACCACTGGCATCTGTGAGGGACGGTGACACCATTTTTCGGTCAGAAGGAAAGCGGGTGGGGGGTGGGGGAGGAACTTAGCTTTCCAGGGAAATTTGCTGGGAGTCCAGTGACCGGACCACTGGTCTTCTCCCAGCCACAGACGAGGCAGGACTGGGGAGCTAGACCGGCACACACAACGGGTTCAGCGTTCTAAACATTAAACAGGGCGGTGCAGCTGACAGGGAGAGGGGCGGGACAGGCCGGGCTTGAGCGCCCCGCGGGGAAAGGCAGGAGAACCGAGGTGCCCCCGCAGGAGCGGGGCGCAGCCAACACCCCTGCCGCTAACTGTGTGAGGTGCGGGGTGGTGAGCCGGTGTAGGAGTCCGTGTGTGGTGCCTGCTGCCGTCGTGTAGTATGTGAATGTCTGCGGGACGCGCTCTCGGGTGGCGGGACTGCAGAGCCGGCGCGGCTCGCCTTGGCGGGAGCCGCAGCCCCCCCGCCCCCCGGCGCCCGCCCGGGCACCAGCCTCCCTCTACCTAGGCGAGCCCGGGCCGCGCCCTGGAGACCTAGCCCCGGGGTTGCCGGCGCTGTGGGTTTGGGTCGGTTTTACTTTACCCTCCTTACTTCCAAATAGGTCTGCTTTTCGCTTTGGGACCTCTGTTGGGGGAAGAAGGTCCGGGGCGCGCCGCGGGCAGCGGCGGCGGCGGCCGAG